GGGGGTTGGGGTCCGGGGTTTGGAAACGGGGAGGTAAACCCGGGGGGGCGGCGGTACGTCGTGGGTAGTTGAGTACGGCGGCGAGGGGGGGTGGCCGGAGCAACCGCCGGCGGGGGGGCAAAATTGCTAGCGCCACCGGGCGTCCATACCGGGGCCGGGGGCGGGCCGACGACCGACGGGGTCGGCTGCATGAACTGCTGAGGCGGCCTGAATGACTGGGCCGGCTGCTGCACCCCCGGTTGCATGAAAGGCTGGGGGGGTTGGTGTCCGTATGCTGGCTGGGCCCCCTGTGCTGCTGCAGGGTTTGGGAGGTTCGGGGCCTCGAACGATTTCGGTTGGAAGCTCGGGGGCGGGCGCTGTGGGGGGGCTGCCAAGGGGGCCTCGGGCTGTTGGGGAACGAAGGGGGGGGGCATGTTCGTCGGAGGGGGGGTGTACTTAGGCACGAAGGGGGCGGGTTGCTGCACTGGTTGGAACCCGGGCTGAGTCCGCTGCTCCACATGACCTGCCGGGTTGAAAGGTGGCACGCTTGGCGGAGGCGCAGGTGGAGCACTCTGAACGTTGTACTGCTGCCAACTTTGTTGCGTTGGGGCTACTGGGACCGGAGCATATGGGTTTGCCGTTGGTGCGTACGGGTTCAGGGGGGCTGTCTGCTGCTGATACTGAGCCCCCTGGTACGCTTGACTCTGCTGCGGCTGCGTGGGCTGGGGTGCATAGTACGCCTGGGTGCCAGCTGTCGCTTGTGGATTGGCCGGAGCTGCGACACCGGGGGCCGAGACGCTCTCCCCCTCGAAGGGAAACTCGGGCGCCTCGACGGACTCGGGCGCGATCTGGCCGCTGCGGTAGATGCGGTCCCGCAGGACTTTGAGCCGGACGTCCGACTCGTCCGGAGGAATCAGCGCGAGGTACTCCATGGCCGTGGCCAACCGGCCCTGGTTTACGAGGAGCTCCGCATAGGTGCCAACTAGAGGGGCGAGTGAGGCCGACACCTTCTTGCGCCCAGTGGCGAGGCCGAGAACGACCACCTTCTCCATCACGTCCTGAAAAGCGGGGAGACTTGCTCAGTTCGACTAAGGTGGATGGCTGGTTGATACAGAAGCGGAGCACGGCACTCTTGCTTTTTACCAGCCAAGCGTTGTCAACAGGAGTTGGGGTCAATAAGGTTTAGATATGATGTGGAAGCTCTTACCTCGCAGAAAGACCTGTGGAATTGACACAAAGCAGCCCTGCCGAAAAGAACCAATTCGTTGAACAATGGCACGAAAACCGGATGGTGGAAGTGTGATGTATTCTGGCCCGATCGAGGAACTAAAGTTGTTCAGTGCTGAGGAGAGCAGCATCGAGATACACAATCCAAACCCACACGATCCAAAAATTTCCAGCTTCAACCTTCAGAGCATCTCTCTCTTCAACCTTCGGTGCGCCCACTCTCATGAAAGCCTCAACTTTGTCTTAAAACAAAGGTCGCAGCACACAGCCAAAGCCAAGTTGGGGTCGTCGTAAGCAACGATCGAGTAACTCTCAAACCCATGATACGCACCTGAATAGCGTCCACTGGGGGCCCCGCCTCGGTGCTCCCGGCCACCTTCTTCAGGTCCTTGGACCACTGCGCCGCCGCCTTCTCGATGTCGCCAGCGATCATGTAGCACAGCGTTGCAGCCTGCTGGAACTCCTGGTCCCGCCGGGCGGCCAGTTTGGCGGCCAGTTGCCCGCAGAGCGCGGTGCACTCGTCGCCCTGGGCCGAGTAGGTGCAGATGAGGGCCAGGGTCTCCTTCCAAAGGCTCAGGGGCCGCTCGGCAACCAGGGACCGCCAGTCACTGCTGACAACGGCCGCGATGATCTTGGTGTACGGGCGCTTGACCCTGCGGAAGTGAAAAGGACCCCGGAATGTGTCTGGAGAAATGGACAGTGCAGAGGCGGTATCAGGCGGAGATCAGGAGAAACGAGACAGTGAGGAAGCTCTGACAGAACGTCGCAAGAGAGACAGACGACGGCATTATTCTTGGCCACTTGGGATACTTTCAAACGTTCTCTTGTATGATAAGACGTGCTACCTTCTTTCGGCCCACGACAAGTCAAGACGCTGTCTCCGAGAGAAAGAGCAGGAAACACACGAAGCACGAGAGGCTCTCAAATTAGAAAGTGGCAGAAAAAGGGCAATCAGCCCTCAACAGAACGAGAGCCAAACGGTGGAAAGTCATGGACCGACGGACAATCAAGAACGGATGGAGTTTAGGTGACACAAAAGGAAGGTCAATAGGCCCCAACTCATTTGTAACTCGCAAAATTAAGCTGACGTCAGCTACGTACATCGTACGTACATCGAACCTAGCCAAATTGCACACCAAACCAGAATAAACAAGCCTCCCGCTGACAAGCCTCCAACACAGATGGTGGCCGTCCTTCTAAAATTGCTCAATGGCCACAAGGAGCGAGCTTACGAGGATCAATTTCCGCCTGTTGTGCAGCAACTTGAGCTAACCCACCTCTTCAGGTACTCGGTCTGGGTCGACTGCCACAGGTCGCTTCCCGCCACCGACGCAAGCAGCAGTGCGTCTGCCAGCCTTCCCGCCTTCAGGCACACGTCCACCGCAGCCTGGTAGTTGCCCACCACCAGCGCGCGCTGCACTGCGTTTTCCGACGGGTCGTCCTCGGCCACGTGCTTGTCCTCCACGTGGTGCTCCGCTACCTCCGGAGCCCGAACCTGCCACAACGAACAATACCACATGACGCTGATTGAGGAACTCTCAAGAGAATCTCGAAAAAGGTGAGAATAGCCGAGATGGACAGTCTATGTTCAGCCCCAGCCGTTCAGCACAAATGGCAAAGGGCTCCGTCGGTTCCGTCGGCTCTGTTGGCCAACTTTACTTTTCCGATTCAGAACCGTCAAGCGGACAATGGACACACGGCTCCTCAACTTCAGGAATTGACGATGTAGCTGCCTTGAGCGAACCAATTTGCTCTTCAACGCTTTGGATAACATTCTCTGGGTCTTGTCCAAACGTCTCAAGCAGCGAACGAATGCACGCAGCCGGCAACCCTCCTACGCTTCTGTGCCAGCTTCTTTAACTTGTCGCTCAGACTTGCGTTAAACGACCGATACAAGGGCCCCTCACATCAAGGCAGCATCAAATTTGCGCGAGCTTCTATGAGATATTCTCACCGTCTCCACCACTTTCGTGTCAGCAGGCGGGGTCGACGGCAGCTTCTCGAAGAAGTCCTCCTCCTCGGGCTCCTTCAACCCGTCCGCGTTCTCCCCGTTTTCTTCAACCGCCATAGCAGCCAAAGTGTCGGTCTGCGCTTTTGCAGCGTCCAAGCTCAAGTCCTGAACGCCGTTGGTGGCAGCAGCTGCAGCTGTGCTGGGGTCTTCAGCGGTGGGGGCGGCTGCGCTTGCAGGGGGCGCGGGCTCGAAGTTGAGGTGCTTGAGAAGCTGGCGGCGGGGGTCGTCTCCGAAGAGGACGCTCAGGAAGCTCCAGGTCTCCTTCTCGTCCTCGCTCCTGCACAAGGAAAGCGGATGCATCAAAGGCTGGATGGCAGGTATATGTACAGCAAAACATTGAGACTCTCCTCAATTTCGGGGCAAGCTACAGCAAAAGTTGGGAAGAAAAGTTGCGACCAAGCGGGAGACAGACTTACTTCCTTTGAGTAGGGCAATCCACAGTGGGACTACTCGAAGAAACGAAAGAAGTGCTATTCGGCAGAGGTGACGAATCGGAACAAGAGGGAAGTTCGTCAAAACAGCGGGCGCCACAACTTCTTGCGGGTCGTTCAAAGTCACTCAATACTGGAGAATAGCCGGACTTGGAAGGTACGTTGCACAACTCAAAGACTCACGTGGCTGATGCCGCCTTGCCCTCGCAGTACTGTTTCATGCCCTCTTTCTCAGCCCCCTTGACTGAGGTCTCGAACTCTTCGGACCGCTTTGCAAGGTCTCCATCCGTGTTGATGCTGCGGACAGTGATCTGCAATGAAAAACAGGCATTGAGCGCGGTGCTGCATCATTTTCTCCCCCTGTGAAGAAGTACCCACAGAAATCTTTGGCCTACAAGTGCTGAATGCGTTGGTTCACCAAGGGCGACCAGTTCTGCAGAGAAGGGTCAGGATGAGAATCTTGCCGAATGCCCCAAATCAGGGAGTAGACTAAAAGCGGAAGAAACTGATGCGAGGCAGACGCCAACAGACCAACGAAGAGAGCAATCCTTTGAAAGTACATGCTGCACCCAAAACATGCAGTCCGCAACCAAACCACCTACTCACCTCTGGGTCATTAGTTGCTTTCTTAGGACCGAACGTCACCAGCTTTCCTCCAAATCCAAAGCTGACGCCTGCAGGCCGCCTCAACCACTTTGGCGCTCTCTTGAACGCTGCATCGGAAAAGGACGGCGCATTCAGGCCAGGGAGCCATGTCTTTAGAGGGCCACCAGGGAAAAGGACAGCAGGGTGACACGAGAAGATGCTCGGAAACGCAGGCACTTGCCGAACTAAACTCACGAAGCTGTCGAAGTCAGCTTGCATGGAGATGGATGCCACGCGTTGCCAAGTCAGGGAGCCTTGCTCTTACATGGCTGCGCTGTCCCGTCCTGTTGTCCAAATCCAGCTTCCTCCAGCGCCGATGTTGCCCCGCATGACTGCAACAACATTAAGATGTTTGTGGTCAGACTGCAGGGTTTTTGAAACGATGAACGCGGACGTCATATCCCCGGCACCAAAGTGAAGGAGGGCAGCACTGCAATTGACGTCATTCGGGGTATTCGTATACCAAGTATGTGAATGGCTGGCAGCAAACAAGATTCGAAAATTGCGCTCATTTTTTGAAACAGGACATTTGTGAACATAATAGATGATCACGTACCTCGATATTGTAGATCTGCACCTTCCCATCAAAAGAAGACGTTGAAAGAAGCCCTGGAATCCGTGCTGACCATTGTACGTCGAAGTTCCAGTTGGTGCTGGCTGGGAGCTCATAGAGCACCTGCAAAGGATAAAATGACAGCTTCTGCCGAGAGGTTTAGAAACGATCTTATGGCCTCCAACCTCCGTCAACGAAATCCGCACAGACACAAATCTGCACCTTGATTGACAGCTACATAAGCTCGTTAGCTTGTCCTGTTCGTCATCCTGCTTTAACTGCAACCCTCCGGTGGAACCCCCCACTTTCAAATCAAGTCTGATGCACCCCATGTAGACCCGTAGGACTGTGGCATCAGTCAACTTCCAAGGAACGCAACAGCAAACGGAAGCAACTCACCTCTCCTGTATTAATGTCCCAGCACAAGGTTCGATTGTCCTTTCCACACGTAAGGAGTAGTCCGCTGTCGCTGGGGCACCAAGCCATTGCCAAAACCCCTGGAAGCAGCGGAGAGGATGAATCATCAACGGATACTTCATACACATTTCCGCCTATTTCGCAAAGTGCCCCCTTGTTGCATAATGACCAAAACTGCCCTTTATAGAGAGCTTGAGAGTGCAAGGCACTGCAATCATGCTAACTGTCATGTCTCTTGCTATCTCAAATGTATCCAGTCAGACGTAAAGCAGACCAAGCCTGGGGGAAGAAACACAACTCACCCCTAGAATGCGCCTGCAGCTCCTTGAGGGGTGAAACTGAGTTGCGCAGATCCCAGACTTGCAACCCTGGGGACCGATCTTCATCAGAGGCGACGACCAACTGCGTGGCCACTTCAGGATTCCATTGAAGAGCAGAGCAACGACGCCTGCTTGTGGGGTCTGCAAAGCTGATCACAGACTTCTGCTTCTTCAGATCCCAGACCACTGCAAAAGGGAGAGAAAGCGGAGTGACGTCAGAAACCAGGGCTAAATCTGCATGTCTAAACACTTCCGATATGTAGAATGGCGACGGGATCTGAGCAGCAGTGAATGCCTGAGCAGTAACAACGACGTTGTTGATTTCTTCATCAAAGTTTTGCAAAAAACAAATCACATCAATTCAACAGCATGAGGCATCAAAAGAGTGAGTCCTGATTGCTGCATGCATCACATTGTTGAGCTTCATATGTTGCCGCACCTGAAGTCCCGTTGTAAGAGGTTGATGCAAGGATGTTTGGGACCTTTCTGTTCCAGGCAAGGTATGAAATCTCTCCAAGAGGGCCAGATGCACTCTGCAAGAACAAGGAGATGCATTAGCAACTCCTTCCGAGGGAAACTCCAACAGCTGACAAAGTCCGTTCCACCTTCATGTGATCTATATGACGTGGATTAGTACGATCCAACAATCGTCTGGCAACTTGCATCCTTCCATGCCACCGGATAATTTCCAGACGAAGGAGTCAGCTGTACAGCCAAGGTTGATTTGTATAGGTGGACAATTCACAATACAACAAGGACCAGGTCCTCACAATGGAACAATCAACTATAGCAGCACGAACCTTTAAAGACGGGAAGAGCGTGGGCTGCGCAGGCTTGGCAAGATCCCAGATGTTCAACTCTCCGTCCTCACCGCCTGTGGCTAGCAAGTTGGGGTTGGATGTATTGAACTCCAACCCCTTCACCTGTAGGTTGCAGAGTTGAACAGTAGTTGGCAAGAACTTTAAGTCGCATTCTGCTGCGCCACTTAGGGTTTTGTAGGCTTCCACCGCTGATCAGGTTTGATCAGTCAAACACTTACAAGCACACATTAAGATCGTCGTCCCGAAACCACTATGCCACTGCAAGAGGCCATACTTCTGGCCAGAGGTGTCAACTACATTATTAAAAGTGCAGTCCTCTCACAAAGCCAGTGCCAGGTATGTGCAAGCTTTCTGCCAATTCTGTGCAAAGCGTGCAGTGGCCTGAGCAGCTTCACGATGCCTATTTTGCAAGCAACTTTAAACCCCTAAACTGCCTTTCCCTGACTATTCACCAGAATTCTAGCTTGCATGTGCAACTTACCGACCCTTTGTGCTTATCCAATTTTCCAATGAGAGCATCCCCAACCTCATCTCCAGCACCGTCCCTGCACACAAATCGATTTGTCGAGTTACATTCGAGACAGTGCGAGTACAACCGATTGAAGCACAGTAGCTCAGGCTCTGCTGAGAGCTACAGCAGATTGTTTGAGCCAGCCAGAGTTAAGTGTTGAGGTGGGAACTCACCCTCCTTTGATGAGCTTAGCAGGGTTCCACAGGGCCACGGAACCATCGGACTGACCCCCCGCAATCATGCCGTAAGGCAGCGATTGACTATCAATCCCAGTGGTACCCCACGATAATCTGTGCAACCGCTCAGAAGCGGGAGCGGTCCCAATCAGAGGCAGATCAAAGTCCGGGGTTGAGAAGTCCAGCTTGAATATTTCCATGCACGCAGTAGTGCTAAAGGACATGTCGAAAGCCCCAGCCATCGTCCCCGCAGCAATGAAAGGTGCAGTGGGGCTGAAAGCCACTGTGGCGGACCGGGTTGCCTGCTTCAGCGCCATGGCTGCTGCTGGCTCTACCAAAGCTTGAAGCAGATCCAATGAGCGCCTGATGGTAGATTGGCCCGTCAAACCAGATCAAACTGGATTCCTAGGTATGTAGGTAAAAATGTACAATCCAATCTCGTCCTCCAATGCAAGCGGACAGGATTGGAAACCAGGCCGCCTGGCAGGCGCTCTCTTCTCTTGCTTTCTCCCAAATTCCACCATGAAAATGAGTTTGCTATTGCAGCTGAAATTGCGCCCTAGCCTAGGCTCGTCTGAGCTGACTTAGACTACTTACCTAGGACTAGTAGTAGTAGGAGTCAGGACCTAGGAGTCCGCAAAGCTCGAACTTCCAAGCTGTTCGCGTACGTTGATTGGTGGACTGAGAAAACTTCCTTTTCAGTTGTAGAAACCTTGTTTATCAACCGCTTGAAAGGTGATTACTTTCCATCTACGGTCTGAAAGTACGAGCAGCTTCAAACATCGATGCTACTCGAGCTCAGCATGCAGTGCTCCGATTCGTTAGAATGTGCCTTATCTAGTTAGAGTGCTTCATGGCTGCCACGTTGATTGTCAATGTTGTCTTCTGAGACTGAATCAGTGAATGCTCTTCCGCTCCATCATCCATAAATGGTGGGACAGCGGCAGCTTGCTGCAATGGGCTGTTGATGCGGCAGATTGCCTTGTCTTTCTCGGTCGTCCAGTCGATTGCATCCTAAGACGGCGCCACCTCGTGTGCTGCATCTATGTCGAAAAGGAAGGTGGTCGAAGGCGCCCGGCCAAACCTGGGCGTCGAGCAGGACTTTCCCCGGGGTGGTGCGGGGCCCCTTTCTTCGGTGGAGGTTCTACAGGCACGCCAGGAAGCAGAAGATGAGGTCAGGGGCGGCATCATTGTCCCAGCTGCTAAAAAGCAAAAGAAGGAGAAAGGGGCAGGCAAGAAGAAGGGATTGATTGGTGAAGAGGCGGACGGAGAAGCGGAGTTGCTTCAGGGAGGAGTCAAGGGGAAGCTGCCGAAGTTTGTGGAGCTGCTCAAGTTCAAAGTAAGTCGAGCTCCGTTTTTCAGAAAATTATTGAGGCTGTGGTGGTAATGGTGATTCTTCTCCAATCCGCTCGCAGACTTTCAATTTGCAGCTTTTGCAGCTGAAATCACTTCTTCGGTTCTTCCGATCTGCGATGGACAAGGTGGTGGTGATGATGATGGGTTTAAGAGCTGTGCAATGCTGCCATGAGAGGTTTTTGTAGCCATAGGAAGGGCTGATCGCAGCCCACTCTGTAAAGGCATTTGTTGCTTCTTAGTATCCTGATGTGCGCTTCAGATTTTCTCTCCGTTTTGCAACTTTCAAAACTTTTTGAAGATCTCAAGTCCGTCATTCTCCTACCAAAATCTGGTGGTACAAGCTCACACTGGGACCAGAGTATCACCAAAGTTTCCAGGCAGTCAAACCAAGAGGTTTGACTGAAAAACGCCAGAAAAGGTGCCGAGAGAATGTCCCAGCAAGATGGAAACAATCTATGCTGCTGTTAGTTTTGCGCTATAGAAGTGCAAGTATCAAGATCAATTCTTGGAGACTGTTGTGTCCGCTTCTTATCAAACCCAAAGACTGGTGCAACAGGATGTGACTTTTTGCCCGACAATTCTCACTTGTTCAAACAACTTCCTTTGCAGACACTTAGTCCAGGGCTGCGCATCTGGGGCTCGGTCGCTGAGGTCAGCAACAAGGACCTCGTGATCAGCCTGCCCAATGGTCTGCGTGGTTTTGTGAACCCGACGGAGGCTTCAGATGTTCTGGCGGACATGCTCAAGTCGTCTGGAGACACCGGCGAGAAGAAGTCCAAGAAGAAGAAGAAGGGTGCTGTGCAGGACAAAGGGGAGGAGGAGGAACTAGACGAGGTACGCAATGGCCCGTTGAAGTCCAACCAGATCTTGGTCATTCTGATGAGCTAGTCTTCTCAGGGGGAACCGGTTCTTTTGTCCACATAAGTACGAAAGTTTTGTCGTCTACTGAGAAAGATTTCTGTGGATTAGACGACTGAAACTCATCACACTTAGGAGAATCAAGGCCCATAGGTGGGTTCATCAGAGCCTGAAGGTAAACAGGAGGAGGCCCTCCCTTATGATCAAGAGGGAGAGTCGTGACCGTTCGCTCATGGACTCCTTGGACAGAAGGTAGAAAAAGGATTTTCCAGTCCCATGAAAAGGGGTTGATTAAGATTTACATAATCCACGCACTCGAAACGGCTGAATATTGAGGAGATACAACCGGAATTCGAGTCGTTTAGTCAAGCGTTCTTATCTGTAAAGCTGACTGGCTTTCTACGGGAGAAGGATGTGGATGCCCCTTATTATCTGGTGGGTTGCAAGCATTGAGTGCAACATATGCTAAGGCTTTAAACGGCTCAGCTTGCACCAACTTTTGGACCAACTGTTTGCAGGACAAAGACATTCCCCTGCTGACCGAGATCTTCACTGAGGGCCAGCTCGTCGGTTGCACCGTCAAAGGCCTTGGGTCTGGTTCTGGCAAGCATGGCGGAAAGGCGGACAGCAAACGAGTAGAACTTTCCCTGCGCACCTCTCTCCTCAATGAAGGCCTAACCATCGATTCGATCCATGAGGGGATGGCCCTAACCGCCTGTGTCAAGAGCGTGGAAGACCACGGGTTTGTGCTGACCTTCGGGGTTCCGGCGCTCTCGGGGTTTCTGCTGAAAAGGGACTTGAGCGAAGGGGCGGCGCTCAGGAAGGGGCAACTCATTCAGTGTGTAGCAGGTCAGTACTTTCTTAATTTTCGCCATGCAACAGCGTTCACCGAATCGTGTGAGTTGGTGGTCGATTGACCTTCTGTAGGGGCTCGTTTCTACTTCTGTCTTTGAGACATTCGCCGTACATTAAACGTTCTTTGCGTTTTGGCAGGGAAGACTGGTGATAGCAATAAGACGGGCAGAGCAAGTCGGAAGGACTGAACAAAGAGCTAGATCTCACAACCCCGGAAGAATCTGGCCAAACACTGTGGGGATCGTGCTCATCAATCTCGCCATGAAGCCTTCACGGGCTCAGATTTTCGCATTTACACGCCTGCATCTTCATGCTCCTACAAAACTTCGGTGGAAAAGTTCTCGGATGCACTCATTATTGACACCACCGTCTCGTGCAGGCTCTATCGACAAGCAGCGCAAGACAGTCGGCGTCAAGACGGACCCAAAACTCGTCACGGCCGCCACAGTCCAGGAGCACGACGGGCTAACCCTCGAGACCCTCCGGCCGGGCGCACTCGTGAGCGCCAAAGTGCGCGCGATCCTTCCCGACGGTCTGCTCCTCTCCTTTCTCACGTACTTCACGGGAACGGTAGACCGTTTCCACTTGGACGAAGACTTGCCGGCCGCGGACTGGGCTGGAAAGTACAGTGAGAACCAACGGCTGAAAGCGCGGGTGCTGTTTGTGGACCCGGGGACGAAGAGGGTTGGGCTGACGCTGAAGCAGGCGCTTGTGGCGGGGCGGACTCCCGAACAGGTAAATGACCTGCTGATGCAAATTCTCGTTCCGGTTGCATAACTTACGGCGCGGGCGGCTTGTGCTGGCTACTTCTGCGCGAGATGATTCTAATCTGTGGGGTTCCGTTGCTCCTGGTTTCAACCGAAATTTTGTATCCTGAACGTCCGTTTGTGAGGAGAGAGGAAGGCCTAGGCACTTCAAGCTGAGTGGTCTGGATTTGAGAAAAACGTAGACAGTTCCGTTGAGGCCTTGGGGAAGCCGTGATTCTTTTCACTTTGGACAATGTACTCCTGGCGTGCACAAGACGACCAAATCCCCTTGATTCGATTGCCATCCGCAGATTGTCTGTCCCTTTCTGCTGCAGACAACGGCCGTCGGCGACCTGTTCGACGCCGCCGTCATCCGCCGCGTCGACCCGTCCGTCGGCCTTCTCCTCGAGCTGCCGACAACACCCCGGCCCGCCGCGGGCTTCGCCCACATCAGCAACGTCTCGGACGACCATATCGAGAAGCTCGAGAAGAAGTTCCGCCCCGGTCAGAAAGCGCGCGCGCGCGTGGTGGGTCACTGGGGGCTCGAGGGCCTCTCGACGGTCAGCCTGAAGCCGTCAGTGGTCGAGCAGAAGCTGCTGACGTACGCTGACGTCATCCCGGGGGCGGAGGTGCGCGGCACGGTTGTCGCGGTGGAGGAGTGGGGCGCGCGGCTCGCGCTGTCGGAGAGCATCCGGGCGATTTGCCCGCTCGCGCACATGTCGGAGGTGGCGCTCTCCAAGCCCAGCCCCAAGTTCCAGGTCAGACATCGCACAACTTTCTTCGAGTTTGGCTGCATCCTATGAGATGGGCTTTCCGTATCACGGTGGGAGAGCTTGTTGCTAATGTCGCCCTCTCCAAGCCCAGCCCCAAGTTTAAGGTCCGTCTGGCTTTGTCCCTGGGATGGGCCCTTCTTTTGTGGTTGAAGGATCAGGTCCTCATGTTGTGCTCTCAAGGACAGCCCAAAGTTCGAATCCTTTTTCACTATGAAACGGAAACTCGCTTGTTTGACGGAAGGGTGGTAAGCCGGAGTCTACTACGGTCCCGGTCTCAGGCTTTGTTGAAAGCGGGGGTGGGGGAGCACGAACGTTGGTATTGTGGCGGTCGCAGGTTCCCCCTTCAGAAAATGTTGGAAACAGGGTGGGGGATCAAGGACGTTATTATTCTGGCGGTCGCTAAGGCTCCCATAGAAAGTCGGTTCGAAAATGTCATCCCCGTCATCATTGCCCCACGCCTAATACTTCTCCGCCGCAAAGTGAAAGCGCAATGTGGTCGCAAACAACGGAACGGTATCTAGAGAACGATGAGGACAAAGGTCCCAGCTCTTTCCAGGTGGGCGCTCGGCTCAAGTGCCGCGTCTTGAGCGTAGACGCCAAGGAGAAGAAGGTGGCGGTGACGTACAAGAAGGGCCTCGTAGCCTCCAAGCTGGTCCCGCTCACGAGCTACGCGCAGGCGGTGGAGGGCCTCGTCACGCACGGCGTCGTCACGGGCATCCAGGACTACGGCTGCTTCGTGCAGTTCTACAACGGCGTCAAGGGCCTCGCGCACAGGTAAGGAGCCTCTGGCTCAATGAGAATCAAGACGTATTTTGGGTGAGGGTTTGAGGGAAGTATCTGACTGTGCAGCGAAGCGGTCTTTGAAGGAAGCCCATGCTTTGTGCACCCCCGTCGGTTCCGGTTTGCAGCTATTTCTGGGCTGTATGACATTGGAACAGTGGCTGAAAGTGAGCGCGCCTTCCTCTTGTCCTTGTCCGCCCGCATCTGGGGTCTGAGTTCTGCAATCATTCGCAAATTTCTGAGTGTACTTCACATCTAGGTGAAGAAAAGCAAAGTCAAAACGTTTCGACGTTGGAACATTCCGAAGAGACAAATGGGGCATGCTCTTGTTCATATTCAAGTTCTGTCGAGCTCACTCGCGCTTCTATTTCGTTCCAGATCTGAGCTCGGCATCCCACCTGGCTCTTCACCTGAAGAAGCGTTCCAACTTGGGCAAGTCATCAAGTGCCGTGTCCTCCGCTCGAGCAGCGCGGACCAACGCCTCGCCCTCAGTTTCATCACGAGCTCCGCCGCTATCGCCGCAGCACGGACTGCGAGTGCATTAGCGCCGGCGGTAGCCGTTACCGCTCCGGGGGCAGCCGTTACCGGCGAGGTCGAACTGGGCAGCTTGGTTTCGGGCGCGGTTCGGACTGTGGGGGAGAGTAGTGTGATTGTGGAGGTGGCGAGGGCGACAGGTGGGAGTGTGAATGGGGTCTTGGCGTTCCAGCATCTGTCGGACCATTTGAGCCAGACGGAGGCTTTGAAGGGGCTGTTGCAACCGGGGCAGGCAGTGGAGGGTTTGCTGGTGATTGGTGAGTTTTCAGGCAGTTCAATGATTCAAGTAGGCACAGTTGCGAAAGAACTCGTTTTCGTTTGGAGCAGCCCCGTTTGGAAGTTGAGCGAATTGGTGCATTTGACTTCCTTAGTAACTCAGTTGAAGGCATTTTGTAACAGCAATTGAAGCCATAAGGTGTGACTTTGCACAAAGCATTGAGAATGGCCAACTACACCGTTCTACGTTTCTAATCTTTCGAAATCGACCGAGTTCACGAGCTGCCAAGCCCAGTCGAAGCTCCATCTTACAAATCTAGAGCTGCTCGTATTGAGTCTCACTTCGCTTTACTTTTGGACTACCGCAGACAAGGACGACGTCAAGGGGCTGCTCATCCTGAGCTGGAAGAAGTCACTCGTGGCCAGGATGGCGGCCGGGGAAGTTCCCCGGGTGCTCGGAGAGCTGCAGCCCCAGCAAGCGCTCCAGGTCAGACCCCTCCGCGGTGTGATCTGCTCCTGCAATTCGCAACGAACCTGAGACTTTGCATTCTGGCCCGTCTGCACGCAGACTGTCTGCTTCTTTGCATGCTATGCAGTTCCGACGGTGTTATCTCGGACTCCAACCAAGTTCCGAAGCAATCTTGTAGGAGATAGGAACTCCAAGCTACGACGAGTCTGCTGAGCGCGATTCCATGGTTTAAGCCTTCGTCTTGGCGGTCTGACATACTCAACCCGGCTGTCATTCTTGACATTGGTCTCATTGCTCTGCCTGCGTTCCTACGAAGTCACCCTCGTGTTTGACGTCCCGTGCCAAGATGACTCTTACATTTATTCAAAACTCGCTTATTAGGCTCTTCGACGCTTCTGATCTTTGATATCCGCTCGCAACAGAAAAAGAGTTTTTGCTGCAGGGCTACGTCGCTAGCTCGACGCCACGTGGCGTCTTCGTCCGCTTCCTCGGACGCCTCACGGGCATGGCGCCCGTCTCGCAGCTGTCCGACTCGTTCGTCAGCGACCCGGCGGGCCTGTTCACACAGGGTCAGTCAGTGCGCGCGAGGGTGGTGGAAATGAACGAAAACGTGGGCCGGTTCACGCTAACCACAAAGCAGTCGCTGTGCTTTTCGCCGGACGCGACGTACTTGGAGAGCTACTTTGCATCTGAGCAGAAGGTGCGGACGCACTTCTTCGATCACACGTTTAATTTTCGACTTGGGATTTGTGTACTATAACTCTTTCTTTTCTACTTCATTTTCGTGGACGTGGTGTGTCGACCGAGATTTCGTAGGGATTCTTTGGTAGGGAGTGGGTACTGCCGTGGGTTCTCGTGGAGATCAACCGTTAGTGAACATTTAGCGTGCCGAGAAGTCGTTACGGTTTAGAAAGCAAACGAGTTTGTTTTGGGAGATGCGAGGCTATCTGCCTCTCTGTATAGAGTCAATCTGAAAACCGCTTTTCAAGGTTCGAACTTTAGCTCATGTGGAGCGCATTTCCTTCCGGTCTCTCACGCACGTTGTGGATTCGTGGAATGGTTCTAAGGGTTTGAACCCTCACCTCTTTTCTTTGGTCTTGGCTGTCAGTTCAGCAGCACTGTTTTTGGATGTCACTAACAAGGTATCAACACTTTGCTTGATGGGAGGCGGTACAACAAACTCAAGAAGATCTTTTATAGTTTCGGGAAAAAAGGTCCTTCAATAAGTCGTATAAGGAACTTTGGCCCCGACCGCTCTTCCCCTCTTGCACGTTGGACGAACTGAACCCCCTTTTGCTGCAGATTGCCAAGCTCCGGAGTGAGCAGGAGGGCACCTCGCTCGACTGGCTGTCGGCGTACCCGATCGGAGCGGTCGTAAGCGGATCGATCCAGGAGAAGAAGGATTACGGCTACATCGTCAGCCTGCCGGAGCACGAGGACATTGTGGGCTTCATCACCTACCACCAAGGTGAGAACGGACTCTGAAAAGATTGCAAAGCTTTTTTCTTAAATCTTCAGATTTTATCTCTTTCCGCACTTCTTGTAGAATCTGCTACTGGGCCTCGTTGCGATTCATCCAGAGAGGTTTTGCGCTGGCGTTTCCGGATTGTTCCACAAAAAGTCGGTATGCGTTCTCGTAACCAGGACCCCTACGCATCCTGCGATTTGTCAAAAGGGTTCGCTGCGAGTTCACAAGATGATTGGTATTGCCAGTGGCAACGGCCAAAAGGCAGGACGTGCATTCCGTTGTCTGAAGTATGGTGCAGAACTGTTACCAATCTTTGGCTGCTCGGCGCCAAACGAGGTTTGGTCCAAATCTCATTCTTCGCACCTCAGCCGCTAATTCATACGATCTAACGAGCTTAGGTCTCCGACTCCGTCAACTGTTGGTTTGTAGGATCTTTCAGATGGCCTTGCAGATTGTTCCCCACGTACAAGGTCCGGGCTGTTCAAATTCAATGAGACTTCCAAGTTTGTCCTCCCGATCTCCTGATTCTTCCAGCGTTTTTGACCATGGCTTGTGTTCTATCTCTCCAGCGGGCGGCGAACTAGAGGTGGGCGCGGACGTCCACGCGCGCGTCTTGGACGTGGGCGTCGCGGACGGCATCGTAGACCTATCGGTGCGGCAAGAGGTCTTGGGTGAGGAAGCCACGGGTAAAAAGAAGAAGAAGGCCAAGGTAAGGGGAGCACGAGACCTGGAAAGTTGTGTGTTTGGGACTTTGTTGAGCATTTGGGAGTGGGTTTGAGGACTTCTGCACTTTGATTAAGATCGACCCAATGCTTGGTAAAGGTTTGGGACCGTTGGAATGGCTTGCTGTCGATTTCTTCCAGCCATCCCAAGCAACTTGCCGAGGTTTTTTTTTATCCGCATCCTGCACGCCTGCAAACCCTGCGAACATATTGGCCCCCAGGGATCACCGTACCCGGTGCTTTCAAAGAACCTTGACAAACCCCAAAACTTTGGCTGACTTGCAAACGGCTGCGAACCCCGTGTAAACCTCCTGCGAACCGAACCCAAATCTCAAGCGCCGTGAGACACGGACGCCTAGAGTCTTGGCCGCCCAAGTCATGACCTTGAAGCCATCTGTCTGAAGCAACCCCGCACTTCTGTGAATAGCTTCAGAAGTCATTGAAGCCGCTACAGTTTCGTTGAGTGTATTTTGACCGGTAAACATGTGGCCCAGGGCCCTCATTTGCTAAGTCTTGAAAGTACAACCTGTATGGACCTCTGTGAATCTGCTAAGCCGATTGGAAAACCACGGGATTCTCGAAGTTTTTTAGAGCGGCCTTTGGTTCTCCTGCCGTTGGTCAGGTACGGTGTCAAGTTCTTTGAGCTTGAGGAGCTACTGAAATCTTGCAGCACCTTAACACGCTTTCCGTGTTGCTCCAGAAGCCCGCCGCCCCTCCGCTCCCCGACCTGAATCAGAAGGTCGAGGCGGTGGTGCAGCTCGTGAAGGACGACTACCTGGTGTTCACTCTGCCCCAGTCGGGCAACGCGGTCGCTTATGCAGCGACCAAGGACTACAACTGGCAAGCCGTGGACCCGCACAAGGCGTTCAAGCCCGGCCAAAAGTGAGCGCTTAGAGACGTGCCTTTTGAGTCGAAGTTCGCTGTGATTCTTGGTGCCGCCTTCTTCTTGACTCCTTCTCCTTGAATGGAAGGCATTAGGCAGGGTTCGATGTAGGGCCATAAGACCCAAGTTGTCTAATTTATGTTGCCCCGTGCATTCGAATACTACGAGCTTCTGGAATAAGTGTCCTCATGGACGGAACACGTGCATCCTTGTGCAAGACCTTCCAAATGCTCGCTGACGTCACATAGCGCTTGGCCGACGTCATTCACGCTGCCACGGGCTGATGGGGTCCGTCCAGCGACTGCCGGGGACCCCTCACGACCGCCTCCAGTCGCTGGTACCCTTCTAATTTCTACCCGACTTTGCTGACGTCACATATACCCTCGACTGACGTCACTTACTCTGCCACAGGCTGCTGGGGTCCGTCCAACGGCTGCCAGAGACCCCCCACGACCGCCTCCTGTTGCTGCTGCCCTTCGGAACGGACTCTCTGTACGCGTCCAAGTCTGGGGACGGTTCGGCGAAGAAGGGGACCAAGCCGCCGCGGATCGAGGTCGGGACTGTCGTGACGGGGAGGGTGACGTCAGTGAAGGCACTGCAGCTGAACGTGGAACTAGACCGGGGGCTCATGGGCAGGGTGCACATTACGGAGGTAAGCCATCTGAATGTCAACTTTCCGGGTACTTGATCCATCCCAGTTTCGTCCTTCTCATTCTGCTTCTTCATGGAAGTGGGATGTTGTTCGAAGGACAGTGGGTCTGCATCCAAAAGCACGCAGTGTCAGAAATTGTTTCTGGGCGTCCAAACAAAGTACGTTGCAGCCCAAGGAACTCCGATGATGGACGGGGAGCCTGCTCAGGGAGGCGGACACCTAGACCTTAAATGCGCGACACAGAAACTTCAATCATGACTATCTACAAGCTTTGAAGAGATCGACCCTTGTCGAAACGTTTGTCGGACACGTCATTAAAACTCCTTGATTAGTACAACCCGTCGAAGCGTCTTAGACCACTGTTAGCGCGTGGCAACCTGACCACTTTTTTAGGGTCTTCGGGTTGTAGGAATCTAGGTTTCTTTTGAGACGTTGTGGTTAGATGCCCTTTGTCACGAGGAATTGGCCTTGCAAATACTTGGGAGATGGGGCTAACGAGTAAGGGGCATGTTGCAGTTGTGAGCGGTGGAGGGTTCGAGCAACTTCTTAACAATGTCCTGATTTACTGCCCGCTCATCAAGTGGACATTCTTGTCATAGCATTCGCACTCGTTTGTGGGGAGTACCGGAGACCAAGTTCTTCTTGTCGCAGCTTCATTCGAATAGCCATCTGAAAGTTTCATTGATTCCGGATTTTCAAACCCCTTTGTTGATTATTGCGGACTCCTTCAGTAGCTTGTGTGTTCGACGACTACTTGACATCCAATCTGCGGTTCTGCAGGTAACTGACGACTACCCTGGCGACGGTGTCAACCCACTCATGGCCTTCAAGCCCAAGCAGGAGATCAGCGCCCGCGTCGTTGGTTACGGCCAGACCCCCGCCGCCGACGCTCGGCGCTCTTTCTTGGAGCTCTCCCTCCGACCTTCGGAGCTCCAAAACCCCAAATGGGATGAGATTCGGACCGCGATTGCGGATGGTAGCACGCCGGACGCCCACGTCACGGACGCCCGTCTGGCGCCTTTGACCGTGGATTCGGTGGAAGTGGGGAAAGAGATCGTGGGTTATGTGGAGGAGATTGGCGCGCATACCGCGAGTCTCGGGCTCTCGACGCAGGTGCGCGGGCGCTTGCACGTAGTCGAGAGCGCGTCGGAGCCGTCCGAGATGCGGAGATTCAAGCAGGGATTTAAGCTGGGCGACCCGGTACAGTGTCGGGTCGTTGCTGCGGACGCCAAAACGCACGCCGTGGAGCTTAGCTGCAAGAGCGGGAAGAAACTAGAGGTGGGAGATATTGTCGCCGGGCGGGTGAGCAAGGTACTGCCCGGTATAAAGGGCCTGCTCGTCCAGGTGGGCATTCACACCGTGGGACACGTGGCAGTCACGGAGCTGGGCGACCGGTGGCGGGAGCGGCCCCTAGAGGGCTTCGCGACGGGGCAGTTTGTGCGGTGCGCGGTGCTCGACGTGACGGAGAACGCGAGCGGTAACGGTAATGGGGCCGGAAGCGGTCATGCGATCGAGCTTTCACTGAGGGAGAAGCTTGGAGGGTGCGGGGGAGAGGAGGCGAAGGCGGTTCGTGGAGAGAAAGCGGGAGAGGGCGTGGAAGTCCCGAGAGTCGCGGCTGTGGAGGACTTGTCTCCTGGTCAGGAAGTCTGGGTAAGGACGTGAATCTTTCGGCAAGCCCATTTTTTCATCGAAAGCAACGGGCGTTTGCTTGCCTTGCTCTAGGCCGATGATTGGATAAACTAGTGGCGGATGAACTTTTCTTGGAGGATGTATGAATCTCGAAGACATGTAGAACCTTAGTACGGGGTCTGCTTTGCTACCAATGGTTTGCAGAATGCTGGGTCGCCGTGCCGACGAAGATATCACTGCGCTCCCTTTCCCTCCTGCACTATCCCTTTCTTTCTCTTCCTACCCTTTCGTACGGCTTGTACAACCTGAGTTTACACATAGATATCGTTTGTATGTAGGGAAGGAGATGTGTCCTTTATCAGTGCTGACGTCCACTTCTTTGCTCAACTCCTCACGCAGGGCTACGTCAAGAGCTGTTCCCCCAAGGGCTGCTTCGTTATGTTGGGCCCCAAAATCGACGCCCGCATCCTGATGGCCAACCTCTCGACCACCTTCATCGACGACCCCGCCAAGGAGTTTCCCCCGGGTACCCTGGTCCATGGCTGGTACGTACCTTGTTCTCTCATTACCGCTCTTACTTGGGTGTGGTTGCAGTGCTCCACCGAGCCTCTTCGCGTTTGCGTTACCCGCACACTTCAATCACTGGAAGCACCGAGGTATCTGGACGTCGCGTCTTCATTCAAGGTTCTGGGGCATAAGTACCCCTCTCGGCTTCTTGAGCATGCTGGTAGTGTATCGTGGTCCTCCAACAAACAGACTAGAGTCGTATCTTACGATCTGAAACTGACTATAGCTCATTTTTTTTGGTCAACTTATAAAGGTTTTAGAGTCGCGTCGAGCTAAATAACGGGTTCCCGCTTTTGGAACGACCGGATGCCAACTATCTGCGTCCGCCTATTCCCTGGTCGTCGCAGCTGAATGCATCCGCAGAGTGAACGAGGTGTCTAAAAGCCCTTGGGTTGTTTCTCCACATCCAAGTGTTACGTACCATCACGACATCCCTAAGTCTGTCGAAAATCAGGCTTCTGTTGCAGAAGGTTCTTTTGCAAAGGTAGTGGAATGGCTTTTATGGAAGGGCTTTTGCAAATGGACACCCATTTTGCGAGAAGCTAGCCGCCGAAATCATACAACAAAACCCAGGCCGATTAGAGGTTCGCAGTGCGTATTGCTTTCAGTATATTCTCGATTTGCCGGAAAGGGAGTGTCTGGTCTTGGATACATTTGTGACCGTCTAAGGAACAAGGCGAACTGCGGTTTTCCAAATGATTGCGGGGTTTGGTTCCTTAACCCTGTCTTATTAGCAGAGCGGCAGCAAGAAGCACCGCTGGCATTGAAAAACCGGGCAACTTACTCACCAATATCGCTGCCCTCTTTCGACCATACTCGTTTACAATTCTTTCTACAGGGTAATCAGCGCCGAACCGCTCTCCGGTCGGGTTGAATTGACCTTGAAGCAAACCGGGGTGAAGGAGGCCCGCGGGGCGCAGTCCAAAGCGGACATAGCGGAGCTCAAGGAAGGGCAGATATTGACCGGGGCGGTTAAGAGCATAACCCAGTTCGGCCTCTTCGTGATCCTCGACGGGTCCAGATTGGTGAGGAGACGGGTTACTTTTCTCTTTGTTATCAGCTTTCTTTGGTTCGAGCGCTGAGACGGAGCATTGTCTGCGGTTACGAGGATGTTTCTGCAAGGCCCTTGACTAGTTGCACCTGAATCTGGCTTTTCCGGAGTCTCCCTATTGCCGGAGCCGAGTTTTCCCAAACACCGATCTCTCTGATCGTCTGATCACGATGGGGGCGATCGAACTTGTCAAAGCAGTCTCCCGTTCTTGAAATCCTTTTACGAGGGTTCTGCTGTAGGTTTCGGAAAGAACCACGAACGCACATGCTGTGGATACATTTTGTGTGTAGTTTCTGATGATCCTCACTGATACCTTGCATGAGTTACCTAGTTCGAGGAAAGATTACTCTGTCCGCTCATTTTTTCTCAACCTTCCACACTGCCAAAGGAGACGGCTCTGCCGGATAGCGGGTACTTTGAACGCCTCCATAAAACGCCTCTGAAAAGTGTGCGCAGCATCGGATCGCCTGTCCTTCTCTTGAAGTAATGTCTGCTCGTTGCAGACGGCAGTATGCTACGAGTCCGGGTCGAATGCATGAACGATCTTGGCGCAGATATCCATACTATCTCGTGTTGAATATGAGACAAAGCCCCAACACCCTGGATTCAAACCTGAGCACTAGCTGAGCCCAGCAACTCAATCCGTCACAACTCTGAACCTGCTCTGACTTCGTACTGAAGACGGCTTTATGCCACGTGTCCGAAGTTTCGGACAAGTTCCTCAAGGACCTGGGCCAGGAGTACGAGCAGGGCGACCGCGTCCGCGCCGTCGTCCGAAAAGTGGACCTGGAGAAACAGCGCATATCCATCAGCATGAAGAAGTCGGCCCTAGCGGAGGCCGAAGCGAACGGGGGCGGTAATGGTGCGGATGAGGCCGGTAACGGCGTAGAGGGTGACGCATCTGAAGGGGAGGACGAAGGAGCTGCGGATGAAGAAGAGGGGGAGGGGCTAGGGGAAGGCGAAGGAAATGGAGAGGAAGAGGAAAAAGCAGGGAGCGAGAGTGAGGATGCAGCAGCTGGCGGCGGGGAAGAAGACGAAGGGGAGGAAGAAGAGGTGCGAATCTTGTGACTCTAAAAGTGCACCAAGTGCACCATTGTAAATGCACTCTTGAAGTGTGGGGTTCAGAGCCTCGCTTTCGGCATTCATGAGTCCTCTTTGCGCACTCCTGCTAAAGTCGACTTGACTGCTGTTTGAACACATGCCTAGATTGGCTGTCTGATTAAGGCAGACTGATTCGCATCAAGTTCTGTCGTCGTCCGAGCTTCAAATGTTTGCCGTTATCCTGAGCTTCAAAGTTCTGAGAGGTGTTGTCGTTGATCTCGTCATGTCCGATATGCCGCTCCCTTCTCGGAGGACTCTGCGATCTAGTCTGAAAGATTGAGGCACCTTTCCTGACACGTGTTATGGCCCACAGGAGAGCGAGGATGCGGCGCCTGCGACCAGCTTGCCGCCCCCTCTCGAGGTGACGTTCGACGATGCGGAAGATGACGTCATGGATGGGGAGAGGGCTTCGAAGCGGCCACGTGACGAGGAGGACGAGGAGGAAGCCGGGCAGACTGCAGGTGCGGGTTTCAACTGTTTGCCTGTTTCAAGCGCTTGTGCTCGTCAAGCTTTGAGATTCTGCTTCGGTTTCGTAGGCTGAGGTCTTCTTTTGTTCCTCGGACATTGATGGATTACTTGGTCATGAGCATCCTCGAATCGCGATCGCTCAGAAATGTAGGGTTCTGGGTATCTTTCCATGAAAGACGCCTGGTTGCGAAGGAGTCAAGTTTACCTATGCAACTCAGAGGCCAGCTTCCTTCCTTAAACTCGTCTATCTTTTTTGGTTCGTCAGTACACCGAAGCTCGTGGTCGTTCGTGATCTTAGACTAAGCCAGTACGCTGCAGAAGCATGAAAGACTCGCTGGACACTCGAAATGTGAAACCGAGCGGGCATTCAACAGCCAAAATGTTTGCTATTGGACTCAGCGCAAAAGATGCGAAGAAGAAAAGCAGGCAAAAGAGCACGAAGACGCAAAGAAGAATGAGGTTTTAAATAACCGACTCATGCTTAGAGCCCCATGAGGAGGATGTCGCTGTCACCCGCTTCGTTCACCAAATAGCTCAGACGAAGTTGATCGAAGTTTCCCAATCATGTGCAGAAGACGCGCGAGAGAGCAAGCAGGCACGGAAGCGCCAGAAGCGCAAAGAGCGCGAGGAGAAGGAGGCCGCGATCGCGCGCGCCGAGGCTGCGCGGCTTCAGGGCGACGCGACGCCGGAGACGGTGGAAGACTTTGAGCGGCTGGTGCTGGCGAGCCCCAACAGCAGCTTCGTGTGGATCAAGTACATGGCCTTCATGCTGGGCCTGACGGAGGTGGACAAGGCGCGGGCGGTTGCAGAGAGGTAGGGGTGATTCTCTATCTGTACTCGTCCTTTATACGTTCTTGTCGGACTTTGAGAGCTGACGTTGGGGGGCTAATGCTGTGGGACGGTAGTGACGAGGCGAGGGAGGCTGACGGGTGTGACGCGTATCCTTGACGAAGAGTCCTGCAGCTTTCGTGGGCGCATTTGGAAACGACATACCTGACAGGATGTGCCAGTAAGTATCTCACGCCCTAAAATCAACATCAATTAAGTTGGGTTCCTTCCTTTGAAACGCGCGTCCGTTCCCAGGCTGCTCCTGATTGTCAATATGGTTTCAGCTTATCAGCTCAGAAATAACCTTTCGTGCGCAGGGCGCTCCAAACCATAAGCTATCGCGAGGAGGGCGAGAAGCTGAACGTCTGGGTGGCGTATCTCAACCTGGAGAACATGCACGGCGCGCCGGACCCGAAGCAGGCCGTGCTCGCGCTCTTTCAGCGCGCGCTTGCGTACACGGATCAGAAAAAGCTACACGTGGCGCTGCTGGGCATCTACGAGCGGACGGGGCAGCACGACATGGCGGACACGCTGTTCAAGAGCATGACCAAGAAGTTTAACACCAGCGCCAAGGTGAGGGGTGATCTGTGCACAGAGGGGGAGCATGGTGTCAAGGGCTTGTTGGATGTTCTGACAAAAGGGCGTTGAATTTGTCTGCACTGTGCGGCGATTGAGATAGAGCACGACTAAGACTCTCGATGACTTGCGCCAAGGTGGACGAGGTGTATCGCCTCTTCCAAACGCGTCTTCAAGAAGTTTGTGCGCAAGATGCCCTGAATTCGAAAAGACAAACTCAAACGAGCGACGTGGCCGGTAAAGTGAACGGACTCTTTTGAGTCTCCTGTTGTTTTTTATCCTGCTAGGTTCACAGAGTGCGAGCCGGTTCAAGCCGCCCTTACCCCATGCTTTTCAACCCAGAAGGTGGATATGTGAAATAATAGAGGCTTTTGACACGACAGGAACCGGTCGTCGCCACCTCAATCCGATACCCTTCGCCCCACTTTCCGCACGCAATCTGGCGGCTGAAACCAGTGGCCACATTTTGGTGCGCGCCTCGCGAAACGAGCTCTTGATTTCAACCGAAGAAAGCCAATGAGGGTAGCAGTATCCAATGCATCGAGGCCCTTCTCGAGTCATTTGGTTCCGCTCTTGCCGCAGGTGTGGCTGCGCAACATCCAGAACCTGCTGTCACGGGGCCTCTCGGATGCGGCCAGCAAAGTACTGGAGCGGGCGCTCAAGAGCCTGCCGCAGCGAAAGCATATCAAGGTGAGGCGCGAACAGTTGACGTTTGCTGGTTGTCGAGTATTCTTGGAACTAACATCGGGGTGATGACGATCTCTTTGGTTACTAAATAGGTCGATATTTGACTAAACGACTCAGTCTAAACAGTGGTAGCTGATTGAGTCCGTATCAAACACCCACGCTTTCAACCGGGCAGAGGTTTGCATTTTTGTCAGATATTTGAACTATCCTAGGAATGCCTGCGAGCAATGGCACCCATGAAAACTAGTCGTGCTTGCGAGCTGCCGCTACTGAGAGCGACCATCTCCTCGTAAACTCAAATTCCAAATTCTCGCTGGAACCTTACAAATTTGTTATGCCTTGCTTTCTGATTTATTGGCGCCATCAGAAAGGTATTGCTCTCCGCCCTCCAGCCGATGCTTTGAACCCACCTTGCACTCGGTTCCTCCGCTTCCGGTCTGCAGTTTCGCTTGACTCAAGATTCCGCTTGGCAGGTAATATCGCGCGCGGCTGTGCTGGAGTTCAAGCTGGGCACTGCGGAGCGGGCACGTGTCCTCATGGAGGGCGTCCTGCGTAACTACCCGAAGCGGGTGGACCTCTGGAGCGTCTACCTCGACCAGGTGAGCGTTCCGACGTCGAAAAGTTTGACCCATTTTTGAGTTTGGGCCCGATAGTTCCACGAGCTTTAGGTTGAGTCCAATGCCTGGTCTCAAACATGCAAAGCTGCCAAAAATGGGACTACTCTGGTGCATTAGAATTGCGCTCTACCGCAGCAGCAAAGATTGTCACAGTCTACACTCTCTGAGCCTAGGAGTGTAGCAGCCACGGCATTGTTTACAGAAAGCTGCAAGACTCCTGAAATTCGAGACACCCACAAATCCTAGGAGGTAAAGGAACAACGATAAGGCATTTTCCTCGCCTATGATTGAGGTCCTCGATCCCTTCTTTCATTATTGCGTCCAGTAATTTGCTTCCGGCACCGTAAGGAATGACTCGACATGCTCATCTGAACGAGTCCCTGCTTTATGTCAACATTGGAAAAGCACTTGATTTTGTTGTTTCAACCGCTTTAAGCATTTCTGACCGTTCTCTACCCACGTTTTGCAGGAGATCAAGCTCGGGGATGAGCCGATTATTCGCGGCCTTTTTGAGCGGGCCATCTGTTTGGAGCTCCCGGCTAAGAAGATGAAGTTCCTATTCAAGAAGTACCTGGAGTACGAGAAGGAGCACGGGGACGAGGCGTCGGTACAGAAAGTCAAGAAAGCGGCCATGGAGTACGTTGAGAGCAGATTGACTTGAGCAAACGTGCAATTGAACGTACAGAAAAGGTCTCTGTTCTTGGAAGTAAGTCAAAGAGCCGCTGCCAGAAAATCTCGCGTGACAGAGACAGCGCAGTGCCATACAGTGCATACGTGTGTATGATTCAATGCGAATGCTACATGATTGCCGTTTCGAGGCATGCTCACTGATGTAGGCTTTGCGGGATGCAAACATTCCTTTGTAACGCGTCGTAGCTGTGGCAAACGATAGGTTTGTAGCCCGTAACAAGATTACCCAGTATACATTGTCAGAAAAGTACACCACATATATACACCCGGGGCAGTCGAAGGGGCATGCCAGTCAGGAGCTTGGCGCGGCATATGAGTGCATGGGCCGCCGCGGTGCAGCGGTCGTACTTATCAAAGCGGCCATGCAAGCTTCCGACTCGCCATCATTTTCGGGCGCGCACGGCTATAAAGTTGGCAGCTCAGTGAATGGATGAATCTGGCTACAGATCTTAACTTAAGCATGTCAATAACAACTGTTGCTGCCTCGATCAGCTCGTATCATTCATGCAGCAATTAGTGCGCGTGCACGGGCTGGCCGGCCATAAGTGGAGGTCCATGTCAGGCGATGTACGTGGCAGCTTTGATCTCTCTATAAACAATGATTACCAGGATCATGTGACGCAGTGTAGGACTGCCAGACTGATTGCCAGGGCAACTGAGACGATTGCCAAGAGCGCTTGATGTTGACCAAAGAGCAACTTGGCACATAATTCACTGTCTTTCAAACTTCCAATAACAGAGATAGCCCCCAGATGTTTTCACTTCGATCAATGCCCACGGCTTACTGGTTTGAACTTTCTGAACAGTACATCGGGCTGGGCGACACAGGAAAGGCCACCTGCACGTGATATCTTTCTTGCCAAGATGGCAAGTATAACTTTCTCCAACCTAGACATCCCTGACTGTACGAGCGTGTACCAACGGCAGCCCTGGCATCTATTGAGCAACTTCATAGGTGTACTCTTAGTCACTTCACATCAATCAATAAGCTGTCTTTGCTTCAAGCGGGGGCGCATGTTTATTATCAGCGAGATGCTAAGCACAACGCCTTATTTCATAGTAGGCTGCTAAGTAATCATCCGAGCTCTTTCCGTCCCAGGTGAAGTCTTGTCGCATTGCGGCCTTTACCCAGTCAGCCCACAGATCGGGATGCTCAACCTGCAAACGGAACCATTTTTGCGGTACAGTCAGTCGGAGGAGTGTGACTAATGTGACCAGTTCTGCAGACACTGCTGAGGTTGTGCACACTGCTGAGTATGGCTACCAGGCACTTGAGCACCGACACTGGACGCGTACGACTTGGCCTCTGAGTCGCCACACTAACGACCTGACAGCACTCATCCTGAGTGTTGACTGAGTCTATCTTCAAGCAGTCATTCTCGAAGTAAGAGGAGGAGAACAGCGGACGTACACATGAGATATTTGAAAGGCCCAATCTCAGGTCCGGACGGGACTCGGCATGTGTCAGGAATCTGCATGATGCATTGCCTGGATACTGCTTACCTTCTTCGCAAGCGCCCTCGACAGCTGGCTGGTCAGATCTGACGCCTCGTCCGAAGCGAAGGGGAAGCCAGGCGGGCCATCAGGACCTCGTCGAGCGCTGTCAACGTCGTACAACCTGCAACGGAGCAGAGTAAGTTTGCGCGTCGACCGAAAGTCTACCACCCCCCACTTTTTTTGTTGTCAGGCCACGTGGTTCAGGAAACCCTGGTTTCGGCAGTGGTTTGCAGCAAACCCTCCACATCTGTGTGCCCTATATCTTCCAATTCTGTACCAAAGCTCAGTCCAAAGCTAATGGGAAATGGCCATGAGTGGTGGCACTTGCCGACAAGGCTTTTTTGAGCAGAAAATATGCTAATTTGATTGATATAGGCGACACAATCACCTCAGTGTTGCAAACCTCTCACAAACCGAAACTTGTGCAAAGCAGGCCTCTAATTGGCTGAAAAACCTGGGATGGCCTCGGTCGACGCGCAACCTACTTCTCATTCTCAAAAGTGCGCTCAGGACTATCGACTTGCTTATTCACGCTTCGGAAGTGCAAAGAAAGAGGACTGATGGCCATGCCAAAAGGTAGCGCGTGCTACCTCAAAATACACAACAGACTCTTGGGGTGGAAGTCAACCGACAGAGCGCTCTCCTCATGAGACGTTGGCAAAGCGGCAATTTCAATCTCTTGAAGAAGTTCGCAGGGAAATCAACGGCGTCACTCCCCGTCCAACTTGCTCACGACGTGCCACGTGTCCACTTACACGTCGTTCTGACCGTACAGTTGCCGGGCCACGGGCAGCGCCCCGTATCGGAGGGCCACGATCTGCAGCTGGTTGGTGGGCTCGTACACTGCCGGACACACCAGGATGTCCGAACCCGCAATGAGCCGATGCGCCAGACTGTCGTCCCACTTGATCTCAACGCGTGCGCTCCCAACCTGCGGAGTTTAGGCATTGCTTCTTTAGGTTTCGTTGACCGACAGTGCTTCGGTCTCCGACTTCGCCAAACCGCTTCACGTTCATGCAGACACATCTCTCTTTGCGCTCCAATTCTTCCGTGTCAATCGAACACGTCTTCGTAACCTTTGAGGACGACTGATGAATTTTTGTACTTTTCAAACGGTACGGACATTCAGGAGATAGGTTCTCTTGTCGGAAATAAATGCCTAGGACGCATGCGTTCATTACGCATCCAGCAAATCCCGTGCTGCCAATGAGCAGAGGACCAAAAGACAATCAGATACGAGGTATTTCGAGAACCACCTTTTCAATCTTGCTTTTGACTTTTTCTTCGCAAACCAGTTCAAGCCCAAGAAGTCCAAGAGACCAGCCAAACAAGACCTTGAGATGTCGAAGCACGGCGTTCGAGTGCAAAGCAGCTTAGACGGCTGTTCAGAATGTTTTGAGAGCGTCTTTCGGACCACTGCAATATACTCAAGGAAAGAAACCCCAAAGCATTTCCGCTAGCGAATCAGCCTCTGGTCTAACGCGCGTCCTCTCTCGACACGCGTTCAGCACGAAGAGCAAACCAACAAAATAGATAAATTAAATGCTTCGAATCGACGGCGCAAGAGTTTCTGAGTAACGACAGAAGAAGCCTGACAGGATAACCCAGACAGCGTGTTAGAATATTCCTGTATGTACGGAAAAAATGGGGGAGAAAGCTCACCCCAAACTCGAGTGCTAGGTCTTCTAGCTGAACTTGCACCCGCGGTTCCCTGCTGGACCCCACGATAACGAACTGCGCACCGTAACGAAACTTCAACTTGGGCAAAAATGAGATGTAATTTAGCCTGCCGCCTTGATGAGATGGTCTCAGAATGCAATGACCAACGTGTCAGGATGTGTTTGAGCAAGTAACGCATCTGTGAGATGCTGGCACATTTCATGATTGAGCAATGGGCATCGAAGATGACAATCCAAGCGCTAGGTACGTCAACAAACGTAACACCAGATGTCGCTGCGACAAGCTTTAGCGTTTGATTACGCGAGCAAACTGCGGACTACTCAAACCTGCGCATTCGGACGTCTGCTCGAAGCCGCTTTCTGACGCCACTAGAGGACAGAAAGTGACTCGTTGTCGCCGTGAATCCAACCCGGCTCTGGCAGGTTGAGCGAGCGTAAACAAGTTCCTAACTCTAACCCAGCTGGGTCAACACGTACTACTCCGCCTTCGTTTGAAGAAGCACAGAGAGCAAAAGGGTTGCGACCAAAAGGCTTCGATGATTCTCAAAGATCCGATGAACTGGGCAGGTTTTCATGTGTAGCTTTTGGACCGTAAGCACTTTCTGAAAAGGCTCCAGTGGTTTTGGACTATTATACGTACTTGGCCCCCTTGTTGTAACGTTGTGTTGAGAGCGGCTCGAATCAGCTCCAGCTCCTTTTCCCTCACAGCTGGCGCGATGCATCCCACCTAAAACAAGACGTGCGACGTCAAGAAGTCTCCGAGACTGGCGGAGGTAGAAGTCTGTTAATTGATGTAACTTCCCGTTGAAGTCCTGGTCCAGACAGAGTCCCCATTTTACGTGACCAGGCAACCACGTTTACCGTTTCGCTGTCGAATAAAGAGCTGAAGGCCGGATGATTCAAGCAGCAAAACTTTCCAAAACATGCTTCTCCGGAGCATATTGCAAGGCGACCTGCTTCAAGGCTTCAGAATTCCGGGATTCCAGGGTTCTAAACCTGGATGGGAGACAGAATCCGTTACCTCATAAGCGTGCAATTCGGCAAAAACTGGTGACTTTGTGTAAATGACAGGTCAAAAGGTGATCATTCGGAGATTGAAAGTTTGCTACGAGGAATCTACCAAGATACATCCAGAGCGAGGCACCAGCTTGAATAAAGCAACGGCCACAAATGATGTCACGGTGCTGACATCACTGCTGGCCCTTTCCAGACCAGATACACGACCAACTGCCTCCGTTAAAGGGTATAGGCACTTTCGTAGCCGGTTGCGTCCCACGCTGCAAGTTTTGTTATACTTCCCTGCTCAAAAGCGGTGATGAAAAGCGAGACCTTTCCATCCATCTCACCAGCGGGACGTCTTCTTGAGGAAGGTTAAGCTCCTCCCGCAGGCTCGTCCGATTCGCGTCCTTTCCGGACGGGTCCTCTGCGGAGTACGACGTCGAGAGCGCAGGATCCCGTTCCGGGTTCCACACCATGTCGTTCAGCCCGCTGAGGATGCCCACTATTTTGGCCCTGGGACAACGATTCGAAGGGTCTAAAAGAAGTCTGAAGTATAAGTCCTTACAGCAGTCGTGAACGAGCTCAGCGTACGTGTCGAGGCCGTGCCAGTCTATTTTCGAAGGCCTGCAGCTCAATGACGCATCTAGTAGACTTGGATATCAGAGACCAACTAGGCCAGTTTTCTGCGACAATCAGCCGCAACTGGAAAGGACACTTCGCACCGATTTGCTGTGTGCATTCAGCAGCTTGGCGCCCGGGCTGCTGGCAGATAATCTTCCCGAAAGCAAGCCGCACAATCTACAACCTGAGTCACCAGCGCTCCGCTTCGCTTGACATTGCGGACTTTCAATACTCCTTCGCATGCTAGGGGAAATGTTACCCCTGCAACAAATGCAGGGTTTCGACAACCAGCACTGATTTACGTGGGAAGAGCGGTCACTTACTCGTGTTGTTGCAAGGTCGGCTCCATCCCGTAGCCCAGGTTGGTCTTGACGTCGCTAGCATACGTTTGTGAAGCGGTTGTGACCTTGTTCGAGTACACGATGCCACCCTGCGCAAGAGACAAGACTGACTCAGAGGGCCTCATGTTCGAGCTATCGCACCTTTCATGGTTGCGAGGTGCAGAGAGCAAACAGCGGACAGAGTGTTTGAATAGAGTAGTAAGCTTGACAACAGCTTTGGCAAGCAACAAAGGGACAGCATTTTGATGCATACTGGCGTCTTCAACGGAAGAAAAAAATGCTCAAAATTTCCCAGAAAACTGCCAGCAGATCTTCCTCTCGAACCCAAGGGTATCAGGAGAGACGCCCGAGATACACATCAGGAAACCGGGTAGAATGTGTCATCGGCACAGCCCCGGACCGACTGCTCTCGTAGAGATGTTCGATGCCATCTTAGCCCGGTCTGAACCGTTCTGACCCATACGAGACTCCAAGAGTAGCACAATGCTCCGAAGGCCACGGCCTGGCTGGCGTACAGAAGACTTACCTTCAGCAGATTTATCATGCTCGGGTCGAGGTTGTCTTGCAACCGATCTGGCCGGTTGAGCTGGGAGTGATCCAGCCCGCAGAGGGCCAACTTTTCTGGGGGTGCCGTGCACTGAGAACAGACACGAAAGTAACCCGATGTTAGAAGCAGCGGCGCTTCGGCCAGACAAAAGGGTAGCTCAAAGCTTGCGAAGGAGCAAGCGACTCATTGACAGCAGGACGCATTTGCATCTTTCTTTCGTGGGGATGTTCGGCGCACTTCAGGAAGCTGTGTGCAAAGGACTTTCTTTGCGGAACATTAATTTGCGGGGGTCTCAGAGGCGTGCTAAAGAGCATGCCTTCCCCTTTTCCGTGCAGACAGAACGGATGAAAGGAGAAAGCGGAATCCCAGCGGGTCACTTTCGATGACACTCCTCAGTTACAACCTTTCAAATCAACGGTCCGAAAAGGTCTTTCCGGCGGAGTTGGCCGTCGATTTCCTGGGGGCTGGCGGAGGTTGCCCGGAAGTCCAATGTTCTCCCTCCATCCTTTCTGACACTCCTCCGAGGAATATATTAAAGTACTCATGAAGTCAGAAACAAGAGAAGTCAGCAATCAATCGGAACATGAACATCTCAGGAAGCGGGCGGTAGCGCAGACCTGGTACTTGAAGTCGTGGCAGGTGAACATGATGCGCGTGTCTTGCAAGCCCGCGTTGTAGAAGATGTCCCAAAAGAGCGGCGCGATGGCAGCCGTCTGCCAGTTGTGCAAATGCAGCACGTCCGGCTGCTTGCCCACCTTCTGCACGTACTCCAACGCCGCGCGACTGAAGTAGGTGAACCTGCGGAGTGAAGACTTTCATTGATGAGTACTTTGGTTCATTGCGGAACAAGGGCTAGCTTGGTTGGTTGTTGGTTACTGATGGGTTCACCGTTATCTAGCGTTTTTCAGGCTGCTTGCCCACCTTCTGCACGCACTCCAGTGTAGCGCGACTGTAAGTAGGTGAACCTGCGGAGTGAAGGCTTTCATTGATCAGCACTTTGACTCCTTGTGGAAGCAAGAAACTCCATTGGTTGATTGTTGGTTACTATTTGTTATCCACTAGTTAGCGTTTTTTAGGCTGCGTGCCCACCTTCTGCACGTATTCCAGCGCCGCGAGGCTGAAGTACGTGGATCTGCATAGTCCGGATAGTCCTTACTTGAGTACTTGGTCAGTTCATTTCGTATCCTTAACGGTAAATGATCGAGCTATTACCAATTTTCTGCACATAGGTACACCAGGGCCGCGCGCTGAAGCACGGGAACCTATGGAGCAAGGACAAACTTGCACTGCCAAGGTCTAAGACAAGATCACAAAGATGTCCAACGAACCTGGGCCGGCGGTAAGTTTCATCAATAGTCTGACGAAAAGTGAGTGGCAAGCACTGATTCAACGATGGTGTCCGATCGAAAGCCGCACCATTGTCATACAAGTATCAGTACTAGACACTCCCCGACCCCAGGACACCCTATTCTAACAACTACAAGTTAGTCAGAGCGCGAACATTTTTCGTTGTACATGGTTTCAGCAGAGGGTGCCGATCCTTGCTTCCCCAAGGTCGAGACGAGCTCTCACCTCTCGAAATCGTCTTCGTAGTCGTAAAATGTCTCTCGAGCAAAGAACTGCTGCGGATGCTGGGGGTCGATCAGCGTGACTGGGATTCCAAACACAACCCTGCGCTCAAGCAAACAGTTATAAGAAAAAGTGTCTTCAGGTCAAAGAGAACCTCCCGATAGCTGATTTTGATTGACGGCCTCGAGCAAAAGAAACTGGGCCACCACGAGAGCCATTCAGGAAGATGCTGACCGTCGTCAGTGGCCCGGCTATTCCTTCCAACCTGCTCGCTCATTCATCAGCAGCTGAGCGCCAGAACTGGGAAGCACCAATGGCCTCCGGTGTCGCCGCCCTCCAACCGCAAGAGTTATACGCGGACGCATGAGACTTCTGTCAGCCCTCTTTCCGCCTTGACCGAACATCTTTTACAATACCAGATTGTACCAGGAGCCTATAAATCTGATCAACGAAGGGGCTGCGTAACACCTGTCCTCAATTCTCTGAAGCTCGGCATCCACGATTAACAGCTTAATCCAAAAGGTGTCTCGTTCAATTGACGACTTATCGATGCCACAGCCCCGCTCGGAAACCTGAACAGAAGGAACGTATTTCAGGTTAGTCAGCAGTCCGCCCGGGTGCCTCACCCGGTCCAGATTTTGTTGCGGTGCCACTCGCCGTCGAAGTAGGAGTGGAGCTCCCGGGACGCCTCTTGCAGGTCATCCAGCACGCTCATGTCCAGCGACGCGTACTTCGGCAGAATCACCTCCACCAAGTTGCCTTTCCGCCGTAGCGCTCTGAAGAAGCGCGTCAAGAATACAGTGAGGATTCTGTGAGCGTTGAACACTGTTGAAATCTCTCGTCGCCTTTGAGCAGTCCTTCCACCAAGTTGCACACCGCTCTGGGGACCTCAGAAAAAGGAGGACAGGGCTGATTGTTGCGAAAATAGGCAATTGACTTCCTCGGACCTCGAACTTCGTTTCATGCGGATAAGGAAGAACGCCAAGGGATCGGAGAGGCTCCGCTCGGTCAGTAACTAAACAAGCCGTCAGAAAAAGTATTCACTCTCTCGTCTTTCACTCGCAGGCCTTATCAGGCGTCAGAGCCCCTCCGTTTACTTGTTCCCCTTTCACTTGCAGCCACTTGACCATCGCCATGGGACTCTATGCATTCGATGGGCTCTGGCCATAAGTCTTTCTTCGCAGCATCTGACCTGAAAACTGCGACGCAGGTTACAAGTTTTTTGTCCTCACCTGCACAGCCCCATCACCTTCGCTGCCAGCGTTCCCGTCTCCGCCACGGGTGCCAGCTCCGTGCACACGTGGATCACATGGATCCCCGCCTGAGCCTTCTGGTCTAGCAGGGGCAACAGCCCTTGAGCCACCGCTTCTGCAGACTGGCCTCTCAGATCCACAAACGCTTCGGCGATGCGCATGTCCCGTTTTTGCACAAGTTCGCGGAGGCCGGCGGCCTGTGTGCGGGTGATTATCTCGCCAAGCAGGAGGTTGTCGATGGCTAGGATAAGGGAGCTCCATAGGGCTGGGGGGTCGGCCTTTGGGTCGCGCTTGTCCCCCACACGGAAGATGCCGCCACCTGTGGAATAGAAAGACTATGAGCACCCGGGAGTGCAGTTGAGAGCCCTGACCAGTATTATTCGCAAACAGGCACACCGAAGATTTCCTGTGTGCTCAAGTCATCCTGCCTAACACCCGACAAATGGAGTCTTGATGCAACTTTACGCTGGAACCAGGTTCTTATCGTGAATCCGTCATTGGCTTCGCTTTTTATGCCGGCAGGTGTCACTTCTTTCAGCCAGCGTGATTCTGTGTTGGTACTTTCAAAACATAAGATGATGTTCTGCAGGTCTGATCCTCATGGATGGGAAAGTCAAGAACAGCAGCTAAAGGTCTCGCCTGCTCTGCTCTCTGCCAAGGCAATGCTCCCTTCTGCAGTCTTCAGCCTCTGCCCCAATACGTCCTTGTCGCCGGTGGCAGCCTGGACTTCCGCCTCTAGTTGCGATACTTTGGCCAGGAGCAGCTCCTTGTCTCTCTCTGCCTTTTGCAGCTCCTCTATTGCAATCAGGCGCTGCTTGTTCAAGTACAGCATGTCTGCAGCAACCGCACGAATCAACATTACACTTCTGTCGTGGCCACTAATGGGAGCCTGAGGGCAATCCTGGGCCTTAAGAATGTTCAGAGGGATCTATCGGACTCCGACGATGCGGAGGGGACCTGGTGGGTTGGACTAGTTCCCATCTAGCAAGATCCAACAAGCAGGGGTGCGACAACCTCATTGCGCAGCTCCCAAGTTCTGTCTTTGACCTCAAGAGACTGCATCTCTGTGTTTGTGTTGGGGAGATTGATGTAACAAGATCTGAGAGTAGGTTTCAAAGGGTCCATTCCAACTCCAGGAGGGAGGCTTGAAAAGAAAGGGTCGACTGACAGTCACATGGCGGGCTGCGTATGACGTATGCAATGCTGAGCGGGACAATCTATACATCTACTGATCAACCTTTTCTGCCGGACAATTTAGCAAGCAGAGTAAGTGGCTCTTCATGCGGGGCTGATGACGCTTCAACAGGCAGATTGCGAACTCACTCTGTTGAGCGTCGTTGAAGAGTTTCATCATGTCCATTGTGTTTGCAGGCGCCTTCTGATTCCAACCGGGAACCTAACGCAAGCCACAAAACCGGTGTTGATAAAGACGCAGTTTAAAGGCGTCTACTTATAGACTCGCCTTTAATCAGTCTTGACACACTTGCTAGGACGCCCCAAGAGAATGATTTGTTTCTGCAGCAGTTACGGCCGCTTCTTGCACAGGGCAACAGGGGTGGTCTGTGGGCTGGCAATCAAGCAATCAATCAACCTTCACATTTTTTACCATCATCAAAACCAGAGTGCACAATGCTGGTTCTTACCTGTATGCCCTCAGAGTCCGACGGATTGCTGCAAAGATCAGATTCTAGAGTTCAATAGGGATGATCAATACAGGGTGCTTTCAACAACTCCAGCCTTACAGCAATTGAGCAGATCTGCAGGTCAACACAGCAGCCGGCAACGAATCGAGCATCCTACGACGGGCAAGGACAGACGAATGACAATGTCAAACCTCCCACAGGACCACGCATATGTTTCTATTGTGGAAGACAAACCTTGTCGTTTCAAGAGTTTGCTTGGCCAATGGTGTATCTCTGTAAGCAAGCAGGGGACATGAACAGTGTTAGGATCGGTCGGCTTCAAGGTAGTCAGGTCTGTGCAATTGAACCACCCAATCAAACCAGCTGGTCATCCATTGAGGCAGAAATATGTAATTGATGCACCGTCGGCATTACCCTGGTCAGCCACACCCCTTGCTTGCAGCAAAAGTAGGTGTAGCAGGTTTAGCTTTGAGTCATCTTGCGAACCAATGCATCACCAACGCAGCCACACTTACCCGTTTTGGGAAGACACTTGGATCCTTCCAAGCCTGTGCCTCTTCGCCCCAAGATTGCTCAAGCCTGGTCTGTCAGTGACATTACTCCTCCCAATCAAGCTGCTGATGGCAGTGGGCTTAGTAATGACATTGAGCCGCAATTGGTGAGCACTTTTGATCATCGCAATCTCGCCAGGCGAAGCACCCACTACTTTAGCCATACCCATGTTGTGTTGGCCAGAAGAACTTTGAATGGCCTTATGGCCCATGGTTGTCTGTGACGCGCACATTCCACCTGCCATCGAGCTTGGTGGTTTCTCGGAGGTCGCCGATCAAGTATCGACCAAAACGTTGGCAGGCACCCAGCAAGTTCACATTTTCCTTGCTACATTCGAGATCTCACAAGCCTGCTGCCACCGCGTGGTGCCTGTGAGGTGTGCAAATTCTTTTTGAAGGCGCCCCAAAGCGCCTGCAACAAAGCCCTGAGCCTGCCCTGAGCAGCTTCGATCTGGTCTGATTTGCACAGTGGTGGCGCCAAAAATGATGATGGCGGTGGGTTCCGCGGGAAGAACACCGGAACGGCGGAAGTATTCCGAAACCGGATCCCAAACCCCGGGCCCTCGCCCAGCGGCGGCCGCCAACCGCAGCCGCGACACTGTGCTGTACGCGTTAGTCCAGGCTTTGCCGGCCGCGGGGTGCGCTGAAGCTTGATGAAATTACATCCATCAAAAGTGTCCTAAAAGTTTTAGAAACGTACGAACAGCAGGAGAGCAGGTGCTCTTACAGACGCAAGGAGCACGAAGGAAGAGCGGAGAATAGAAGAATGATGTTCAACGACCCTGCTTCGTCTGACGTAGTCGTCATCCTCGTTTCTGGAGATGTGCAAGGGAGTGAACAAACCCCACCTGAAAGTGAGGTTCGCCTTCACTTGCACCAGAACGTTCTCAAAAGAGAGTCTCAATACTTCGAAGCACGTATCTCACGATGGCAGGCACCTCACGAGATGAAGCAGGGACTGGAATCCACAAAACCGGAAATTGTTGTTAGTTGCACCTCTAGTGCTCAAGTAGAGAGCTATTCGTTTGTTCTGGAGCTTCTGTACAAGGAGAGCGAAGATCATAGTGAGGGAAAGGAAGCTAAGCTGCTCTTTGGCTGCGCAGCGCAAGCGCTTTCAGTGCTAGAAGCCAGCAGCTTTTTGGCCTGCGAGAGGATCATCAAGCTGTGCTGTGACTACCTGAATGCTGCATACTGGCCTTAAGAGGAGGTGGGGAGATACAGGGAATTCATTGAAGGACTTGGAGAAACGGTTGCAAACAAGCTGAGGGACAAGCTTGACTCCAGAAGAGAGGCAGCCATGTCGGAGTCCCTCTTCAGTAGCCTTCTTCAGATGGCCGTCTCCAAGGCCAATTTCTCAATGAGAAATGGTGAAGTCCAGGTTGGATCCAGCTTCAAAAGGGCATGGGGGATCCTTGAGAGATACGCGGCTACCAACTGGAAGGGGCTGTCAAAGGACGCGCAAAAGAGGCTCTGGTTTGAAGACTTTCGCAGTCTTACAAGTCTTGTTCACGACAGGGTCCTCAAGCGTTCTGTGACTGGACTCGAGCAGGGGCTAAAATTCACTGAGTTCCTGCTGACTTACATCTTAAGGTATGATGTATGCAAGGAAAAATTTGTCAGGGCGTGGGCCGAGACGCCCCTGCCTCGGCTAATAGCAGGATGCATCTACGGCGGGGACCTTCAAAACGGTCACGACTGGGTCACAAGACCGGGTGATTGGCAAGTCCTCACAAACATAGTAAGCAGCCTGTGTAGAACTCTATCTTCGATACTCGAAAGCGTTGAAAATGGCTCATGCGCCATTGAGCAGACCACGCTGGCAGAGCTCCTGAAGGGCTGGGGGATGGTCTTCGTGGCCCTGGAAAGCCTTCACCAGTCCTTGCACAAACTTGGGGAGAACAAGGACGAGAGCCTGACAGCAGAAGCTGTTCAGAGGCTACTAGTCTCCACCAAGACGCTATTCGCTTCCCTCGACAGCGCAGCCCGCGATCAGTGCCGCTTCTACTGGGCCGATGCATCGAGGGAGGTTGAAACCAAGATGCCCTGGAGCACCTTCGTTTACGAGACGATGATGGACTTCAGCACGACTCAAAATCCTGTTCGGCTCTTGGAATGTCACCTCTATCTCTGGAGGCCCACAGATCCTCTGCCTATCGACAGGTTCTTGAAGGTGGCTCCAAATCTCACGCTAGAGCTTTCCGGCATCTGGCTGAAGAAGTTCTCGCACCAATACGCGACCAAGAACGTTTTCTCCATGAGATGCGTCATCGAAGCAAACATACTCATTTTCGAGGCAGCCCTATACCCTCAGTCTCCAACTCCAGATGACGTCAGGTTCCAACTTTTAGAGGTCTGGTTCGCAGAGTACGTCTGCTTGGACAGGAAGAAAGCCGTGGATCCGCGTCTCTCTGAGGCGTTGAAGAAAATCTTCTTGTCTTTGCCGGTCTCTGCCCAGGCTGAACTGGTTGATGAGTATTGGGGGAAGCTGTACGCCTCAGGATCCCGTTCTAGCTCCTTTGATACATTCTTCGACGACTGGTATATCCGCACGGCCTAGGAAACTGGTCCCGCCGTAGGCTAAGGTCGTTTTCTTCGTTGGGGGAGAGAAGCAAAAGCATAACATACCTCCGTATACAAGAACAGTGTCCTCTTGTTGCTTCTTGAAGATGAGCAAGGAACGTGTGAGTCTCACCGTGCGGTACTTAAGTCTTGAAGGAGGGGTTGGCAAGTATATAGGCTCGAAGCACCTTATGATGACACATGTGCATCGACCAACCTGATGTGCGCATATATGGCTGGCCGAGCTAGACGGTAGTTACCTGCAGGTCCTATATATACAACCAAACCGTACGCGTGAGCACTCGGTTGTTTGAACCTAAAATACAACTTCGTGCACGATGACCGTATATGCGCGTGTCGCGATCCTACCTGAGGATCTCTCTCTAAACCCAGCTGCGCCAGGCACCATGAAGCATGTCAACGCTATACACCTAACTCTCCTACTCTGAATGATTGCATCAATCACAAATCACCTAAACCACATGCACCATACACATAAGCGCAGTCTGCTTATGCGGAGACTCTCTGCTGGCCGTCATGCAGCATGACGAGGAGACAATGGTTGCTGATCAAAGTCGCCTTCAATATGCCTTAGACCGAACATAGAGAGAATGAGCTACAATCAGCTCATTCTCTTACCTAAATGTTCTGTCCGGCCATCAACCTTCTGCTTAAGTGCTTTGTACGGTAATCATCATGCTCATCAATGCATTACCGGACTCACTCTAGCTCTAGTTACGGCTGACCCTAACGTAATGACCGGGTTGCGAGATAACCCGGTCGCGACACAATCTGGCGTGACAGCTGTCGCGATCCTACCTGAGGATCTCTCTCTAAACCCAGCTGCGCCAGGCACCATGAAGCATGTCAACGCTATACACCTAACTCTCCTACTCTCCCCTCCTGAACCGTGCACCCCCATCTTTCTAAACACGGTTCACTCCGTCATTCCGACCGGACCCACTAACGCCTGCGCCGTTTGACACTTGGGGCAGAACCAGTCGCCCTCAGGAACCGCCGCCAGCGGAGGGACCAGGCACCTCGTGTGCCACCCGGCCCCACACCCATCACACAGCAACATGGAGGCTTCGTCATCAGCCCTGCGACAGCGCGTGCACGCAAAGTCGGCTGCGGGGCGCGCCAGGCGCGCATCCTGTCGATCGTCGATGTCGATCCGATGACACGGGGCACATCTCTCCATGTGCACCCGCACCGTCCGCGCGTCCGCCCCCTCCAGTTCCAACACACCCCCCGTCCTCACGTGCTTGACCCGCAGGATCCGTGGTCCCGCCCGGCTGTCCAGGGTGTTGAGCATCTCTCTCTGCAAATACACGTAATCGCCCACCGCATACCTGATGATTTGCGGCTTCCAGGCACCACTGCGGGTCTTGGCGTACCGCAGCGTGTCCCGGTGTTGGGCAATTTGCAGGTTGCCCATGGCCATTGGGACCAACCGCCGGAACAGTGCAGCCCGTTCTGCCACCAACGCGCGCAGCCTGTCCGGACGGTCAATGTCCAGGGGTTCCTCCAGCGCCGCGCGCACCGTCCCTGGCAAAACCGGCTCCCGTCCGAAGAGCAGCACGTACGGGGAGAACCCACCCAGTGACGCCTGCGCGCTGAACCGGTATCCCATGGTGACCCAAGGCAGGTAGACGTCCCATTGCTCCGCGGCGTGCCCAAGGCACCACTTCCGCAGCGCACCTTTGACCACCCCGACTATCCGCTCGCTGAGGCCATTTGCCTGAGGGTGGTGGGACGAGGTCGACCGGTGGTCGATGTGAGACCGGTCGAGTAGCTCCTGGAAAGCGCCCCCAAACTCCCCTCCTCTGTCCGTCACTATCTCCGCACAAGCTCCGAACACCGTAAGGACTTCCCGGGTGAATGCCTCGGCCACCGTCTGCGCTTCTTTGTCAGCCGTGGGCACGAACACCACGTGCTTGCTGAAATGCTCAACCATGACGAGCACAAACTGGTTTCCCCGGCTTGACTTGGGCAGCGGCCCCGCAGAATCTAGCCCCCACCGGTAGAACAGTCCCTTAATCGGGAGGGGCTGCAACACAGGATGCACTGCGTTGAAGGCTGCCCTCACCCGATCGCACGCCTCACACTGACGCACCACCCGCTGAACGTCCGCCGCCAGACCCACCCACCAGTAGTGAGGGCTTAGCAGGGACACCGTCTTCTTGACCCCGAAGTGTCCGCATTTCTCATGCACATCCCGAACTAGGGCCTCTCTCTCTGCCGGCCTTGGGACCACGCGCACCCCACCGGCTGCCTCACGGTGCACCAGGTGGTCCCGTTTCCACTCAAAGCTGCGCGCTCGGTGCTGTGCCCGATCTCGCTCCCCCGAGGAGCTCCTCTCTGGCGCGCGCCCCGTCTGCAACAGGGCCAGGACTGCGCCGTCCGCCCACACGTCCACCGCCGGCCGCACAACCACCCGTCCGGTTTTGCTTTCCCCAGGCGAGGCTGCCGGGGCCCAAGCTAGCGCTGCTGCAGCTGACCAGCAGGGCGCCAGTGTCTCCCCCAAGTCCCCCTCCTGCCGGACGCCCGCCGTGTCTTCGTCTGATTTCTGTGGGTACCGACTCAAGCAGTCCATTTCGTTCTCGTCCCCGGGGGTGTAATCGACCACCATGTCAAACTCGCTCAGCATCATCGCCCACCGCGCAAGCTTACCGGTCAGCTTGTTGTTGGTCAGGATCCACTTGAGCGGCCGGTGGTCACTCTCCAAAGTGAACCGCTCCCCGTACAAGTAGTTCCTCCACAGCCGCACGAAGTAGACCGCCGCGAGTAACTCCCCCTCGAAACTGCTGTACCGCGACTCCGCCGGGTTGCAGCTGCGGCTCCCGTAAGCAATCACCCGGTCCACCCCCTGCTCGTCGGCCTGCAACAGGACTCCGCCCACCCCCTTCTTGCTCCAGTCGCAGCGCACCTTGAAGCTCCGTCCTCTCACCGGCAGCGCCAACACAGGCTCGTTCTGCAGCGCCTTTTTGAGCGCCAGGAACGCCCCCTCCTGCTCTTCACCCCAGCGCCACTGCACTTCCTTCTTTGTCAACTCGTTGAGCGGCCCCTGCACCCGGCTGCACTCCGGAATGAACCTCCGGTAGTAGTTGACCACCCCGTTGAACGCCTTGACCGACGTAACGTCTGTGGGCCGTGGCAGGGCCTCAATAGCCGCCACTTTGGCGACCACTGGCGACACCTTGCCCGGGCGCAGCCACATGCCGAGGTACTCAACCGAGTCGGCCCCGAAACAGCACTTGTCGGGGTGGCACTTGAGCCCTGCCTCCTTCAGCCGGTCCAACACCCGCTGCACCAGCGCCATGTGCTCCTCCAGCGTCTCCCCTCCAGCCACCAAAACGTCGTCGATGAAGCTCCGCGCGAACCCCTCCAATCCCCTCAGCGTTCTGTCGATTGCCCGCTGAAACCACGCGCTGGCGTTGCGCGCCCCGAACGGACACCGCTTCCAGCAGTACAGCTTGGTGGACCCCCAGAACGCCAGCTTGCGCCTGTCCTCTTTTCTCACCACCAGCTGGTGAAACGCCCCCCTGATATCAATCGTGGAGTAGTACTTTGCGTGCCCCAGCGCCTCCAGGACCTCCTCCGGCAGTGGCATTGGGTAGCGATCCTGCGCTGTCTCCGCATTGACCCTGCGCAGGTCCGTGCAAAAGCGGTCTAGCTTCCAATTCCCCTCCGGGTCCTTCTTCGCCGCTAGCACTGAGTTTGCCGCGAAGTCACTGTCCGTTTCCTCAATGATCCCCGCCTCCTCCAACTCTCTGCAGCGCTCATCTATCAACTCCCACTCCTTCACGCTGTGCTTTCTGCGCCGTTCGAAAATGGGCCGCTCCGTCTTTAACGTCAACTCCACCTCAAACAACTTAAACTCTCCGATCTCCCCCAAGCTATTGGCAAACACATCACGATTTGCCTCCGCCACTGACGCCGCAAACCCCTGCTCCTCGGGCGTCAGCTGACTCCCGACCAACCACCGCCGGCACTTCCCGGCTACGGGCCCCCCCGGTTCTTCCACTTTTCCTGACCGGCCCTGCCCTGCCGGCTGTCCGACCCCATCCTGCCCCGGCCGGATCTGTCCTGCCGCACCGGCCGCCTTTGCGCCGTCTCCTGCCCTGGGCGCGCGCGCTGGCGCGCACCCCGGTGCCTCGGCTGCCCCCACACCGTCTCCTGCCCTGGGCACACCGTCTTCTGCCCTGGGCGCGCGCGCTGGCGCGCGCCCGACTGCTCCGGCTGCCCTGGGCGCGCGCGCTGGCGCGCACCCCGCTGCCCCGGCTGCCTTCTGCGCCTCCCCTCCCTGGCTGCCGTTGTCCGTAGGGCCATCCGACTTCCCTCCCAACGGCAAAGCTGCCGCCGCTGGTGACGCACCCGCCGCCGCTGCGCAGGCAGCCAGGAGCCACATGACCGTGTTAAGGTCCATGGCTTGGCCCAGCAGCTCGCGTCGGGTGGATTCGGACAGACCAGGCGCCGCCGAGAATCCGCGGGGAAACCCCATGGCTAGTTCGCGTTCGTCGGCTGTGGGCTCCCCGTAGGTTAGCTCGCTTCCTTGTGTGACCTGAATCACTCCGCCCCTTGTGTGCGAAAACGCATGTGAACCGTTGTAGCTCACGAAAGTGGGCAGCGCGCGCCTTGGCTCCCCCGGCACTTCCACTTTGGCCCACGGGGCTTGTCCGGAGCCCCTAGGAATCTGCGCGCGCCGCCCGGGCCCAAGGATGTGGTGCACGAACAGCCCAGGTGGGCGGACCTGAGCGGCGATCGCCGCACGCAGAAGAGCAGGTGCACTGAGGTTGGTCCACCACGCCCGTAGGCGGTGCGCCCGCGATCCCAACTGGGCGGCGTCCAACACCACTTCGGGCCCCAACAGACTGCGTACCTCAGCAAAATGATCCCTCACCCGAGGACGTCGGTCGTGTCCAGCCGCCACGTGCTCGACGACGTAGGCCAACGGGTGCCCCCACTTTCGGTGTGACCTCTGCAGGTGATGCAGCACCCGTACCAGGTCTTCAACCAGCCCCGACCTCTCGTCTTCCAGACCCCGCCCGAGCCCCGCTGCGCTGTTTCCTTGACACGGCCACCCTGCCACGACCACGTCGAGCGGGCCGAGTGCCAGCAGGTGGTCCTCGCTGACCAGCTGTATGTCCTGGGGCAGGCGGTGATGCAGCTGCGAACACGCCCGCTCCTCCATCCTGCCCGGAAACTCCAGGCTGAGCTGCGCGCACGACCACCGGTGCAACTCTCGCGCCGCCCCCCGCTTCTCGCAGGCCATTACCTCACCAATGTTGTATCCGAGCCGCACCAACGCCTGGGTCGCTGTTCCCACGCCTGCAAACAGCTCCAGCACCCGCAAGGGCCGGTCTCGTGGCAACGGCTGGACAACCGACCAGTCCAACGGCTGCAGCCCCTTGAGCCGGCTTAACTGGACCTTGCGTGGCGGCTCAACAGCTGGCCGGCCCGCCGCCAACGCGGCTCGAACCGCTCGCTCCGCCCCTGTCTTAACGTTTAGCGGGGGACCCCGCGGCCACCTACTCACTGTGCCCTGCCGCGCCCCTTGTCCACTTCCCCTTTGTTCCCTGTTACTCCCGCCAGACCGACCCTCCCAGCCGGCCTCTTGTTGCACCGGGCGTGGGCCAACCGCCGTCTCCCCGCCCGGCGCCTGGCGTCAATGTAAGCCACTACAGGCCAGCGCGACACCCGCGGTACTGACGGGTGAACGGCTGGCCGTCGCGCGCGCAGGACGCGTGCCTGCCGCCTGCCGCAGGCGCATGGGTATGCTCGCTACGTGCTCCCCTTGCGCCCGCCAGTCGACCCGGTACGTGCCCCGCTCGGCCCACCGGTCGATGCTGAGGCCTATCGGGTAAGCTGCCCGCGTACCAATGAGCAGATCGTAGCCGGTCGACTCGGTGACGGCCAAGCGCTCGTACAGCGTTAGCTCCGCGGGAGTGCCGGCGTTCAGGACGATGGGCACCGGGTCTCGGGTGAGCCCCTTCCCCAAGGGCTCGATCTGCCCGAGGGCCGTTTGCACCCGGCAAGATGCCGCGGTGCTGTCCAACGGCAGCCCGAGCTGGTCCGCCAAGCGCGCTCCTGCCATCGAATAGAAACTGCCCCCGTCGATCAACACACGCAGCGGCGCCTTCAGTCCGGCCACCGTCATTACTTTGACCGCCCCATCTCGGTTGTCTACCCAGTCCGGGGTGCCGACCCATTGGTTGCGCTCAGCGGGGGGAACCTTTGGCAGCGCCTCAGCGAAGGCCGCCAGCGCGTGGGTCTCCTCCCAGGCCTTTTCCGTCCCCCCATGCCCCGCCGCGCTCGAAGTCGTCTCACCGTCCGTGTTCAACTTCCCCTTTCCCTTACGGGACACCGTCTCCCATCCGCGCTCCTTCCTCGTCTTCGGAGCCGGCCCGTTCTGCGCGCGCAGCGCTGCCGCTGAGTCAACGCCAGCCACCCGCGCCTCCTCGGCCAGCAATTCGAGCGCCACCTGCTCATCCGAATTTTCCGGTCCCGACGGGCTTTGCTGCCGGCGCGCGCGATCTGCTCTTGCCTGGGCCATCCACGAACTTTCAGGGTCTGTGCCCGAGTCGTCCGCCGAGCTTTGCCTTGCGTTGCCCTTCCCTGTTTTCACCACCTCAGCCGTTGGTGTCTGCTCGGTCGAGCTAACACCTTCCCCTGGGTTTGCACCCGTTTCGACTGTCCCTTCAACCACGACCGCCCCGCGCTGGGTCACTCGCCCTGCGCTTCCTACCCCAATCTGTCCGGCTTGGCTCAACTGTTCTGTTCCGGGCCGGTCCGTGCCGGCTGTGGCCACCGCCCTGCGCATCACCTCCCTCGGGTCGAGCTGCGGCCGCGGCGCGCTGGCGCCACCTCCCGTCATCTCCACAACCTGCTGCAACGTCATCCCTGCGCGCTCTGCCAACCCAAGAAACGCCGCCACGTCCATGGTGACCTGCCCCACCAGGACCGTCTCCCCGACAGCCCTCAGCTGTTCCCCCGGGGAATCCGTCATCTCGGCCGGGGCCACTTCATCGACTGGCCCGTTGAAGGACGTTGCTGCACCCCTGCGCGCTCCACCTGGTGACACCACCTCCTCCGCACTCTGACGCTTCCCCTCCGGTCTGACGCCAAACCCTTGTGGCAGGCGGTGCAAGCCTTGTGCAGCCACCTCTCGGCCTTGGTCCGGGAGCTTCGCCATCCGCTCTTTAAGCGCCGCTTTGTCCCTGCGGGCCCGCAACTGCCTCAGTGCTTCAGCCGGAGCCTTCCTCTCCAGCGCTGCGGTGCCCACGGGCTGCCCCGTGGCTGGCCCGACCACCTGTCTCGGGCGCGTGCCCGCGCGCGCCTGTTTTCTGGGCCTGGACTGTGGCCCGGACAGCCGGGTCACTTTCTCCACAGCCCCCGCGCCTGCCGCCGCGCGCGTCGCCACTGCTCCGAGCTCCAGCGGAGTGGGACACCACGCCCCACCTCCCTCTACCACCAGGGCGGCAGCCCCCAACCCGTATTCCTCCTCGTCCCAACTGGCCGCGTCATCGTCCTCCAGACTCAGCGCCGCCGCCGCTTGAGCCGCCGCCTTCCACGCCCTGAACTCCTCCACTTCCGCCACGCTGAGCCCAACCGCTGCCAACTCCGCCCCTCTGACGCTTCCTGCCGGAACCGCGACTGCCGCCGGCGCCACATGTCGCTTTGGACACTGAAACGAGAGATGCGCCGGGTCACCGCACACGAAGCAGATCCGTTGCCGCCCTACGCCCCGGCCCGGACCCGACCTCACGGCTCCCCCGGCCGAGGACCCCCGACCTGCACCCCCGCCTCCCCTCTGCGGGCACTGGTTCCTGTAGTGTCCGATCTCACCGCAAGTGTGGCACGCACCTGACCCGGCCGACCCAGCAGCCACCGCTGTTGCCACCGCCGCGTGTGGCGCCTCAGGGACAGCTGCGTGCGCGGCCGGAGCGCGCCCGCCCCACCTCGGCCGGGCCGCCTCCACTGTCCTGGGCGTCATCTCCCTGGCGATCCTAAGCCTGGACGCCATCTCGTTCACTCGGACGGCCGCATCGTACGCGTTGTCCAGCGTGTAGCCACCGTCCCCGCTCGTGGCCGCCGCCAGCGCCTGCGTGTTGACCGCGTCCCCAAGCCTCTTGTCCAGGGCCGCCACGAACTTGGTGACGAGCTCAGGGTCGGTCAGTGGCTTCTTAAGGTCAGTCGCCAACCCCTGCAACCTGAACAGCAGCTCCGGCAACTCTTCCCCTGCCTCTCGCCGAAAGTTGACCCACTCCTGCGCCTTCCCTTCGTTTCTCTCACCAAAGTGGCGCTTGAGGCTCGTCAGCAGGTGCTTCACCGGCTCGTCCTTGGTGTTGCACTCCTTGTAGGTGCGCAAGTGCGCCTCTTTTGCCGGGTTGTCCATATGCTCCCCCAGGTGTATGCAGAACCGCTTTTTAAACTCAGCCCCCTCAACCGGCCTGCCCAAGTCCTTTTGCAGCTTCGTGAACCGGTCAAGGATGCTGCCCTCGACCTGGAGTTCGAACTGCTCTAGCGTGAGCCCCTCGTTCTTCCTCCCCGAGAAACGTTGCTTCCCCTCACCAACCGCCGCCATCTCTGCCCAATCTTCTTCCTCCCACCAGAACACTGCCTGACCCGCCGCCGCTGGCCTGTTCACAACAACCCCACTGCTCGCGCCTGACGCGGTGTCCTCGCTCCCCTCACCCGCCGCAACCCGGCTGTACTCAGTTGCAGCTGACACCTCAAAGATGGAGCCGTGGATTGTGTGCTGCGCACGCGTCCCCACTGGCATTTGCAGCCTCTAATCCAGTTCACTCATGCCTCCTGCTGCCGGCTCTGCACCCACTCGCTCACCCGTCTGCTCCCCCGAGCGGGCCCGCCTCTCCTGCTTCTTGCGCCGGCGCTTCTCTCGCTTGGATGCTGCCCGCTGCTCCTCCGCTTCCCCTCTCACTGGCCCTGCTTCCTCCTGGCTGCCCCGCTCCGCACACCGCTGGGGCACTATCTCCACCTCCGCCACCCGCTTTGTCAGCTCCCGCCACCAAGCTGCCTTCGCCTCCTGCTCCTCCCTTTCCTTCTCTCGCCTCGCGTGCTCCACCCGCGCCGCCACCAGCGCCTCCGCCTCTCTCCAAACTGCCACCCTTGCCTGCAGCGGCTGGAAGCGCTCACAAATGGCGCAGCTAACAGGGCACCCCAACTTGACCGCGGGGAGATGTTGTGATGGGTCCGGAACCTGACCGATGCAGGCGGCTCCAGGCGCGTTACTCGCCACAAACGCCGCGTACACCTTCCCGCGCGGATACTCCTTGTGCTGCTGCTCGAACGCGCGCCAATCCTGGATGAACTCCTGCGCCAAGCGAATTGACCTGGCTACCGCCGGATCAGCGTCCGCCTTGCGCTGCAACTCCCGCCTGAGCCGCTCCACCTCCTGCGCTTCACGCCTGCTGCCCTGCGGCGTGCTGGACTCTTGCGCAAACGCCGCGTCCTCCTGCCTGAGCTTGAGTCCCTCCCAGGCGGCTTTCCCGAGCTCCTCGGCCGCCTGCTGCTGGCGCGCCCACTCGGTGGTCCTGGTTACTTCTGCCCCCGCCGCCTCCGCCGCCTTCTTATCACAGATGACACAGCGCGTCCCACACGCACTGCGCTGCACCGGCCAGTGGTCTTCCTCCCTTGCCTCAATTCCCAGCAGAGCCGCCCCTGACTGATTGTTAGCTACGTAGGCAGCCCAACCGCTACTTTCTTCTGAATGTACCCCCACGATCTGCTCTGTCACAAGCAGCTGCCACCCCTGGATGAACTCATGCGCTTTCCAAAACTCACGCTCGCGCTCCTTTCCTCCTAACTCACACAGACGCCTCAAGAGCTCCTGGATGTCAGGCGCTCCTGGCGCCATGCTCCATGCGCAACAGCTGGTGAACCGCTAAACTGATGGTGAACAGTCGCCTGCAGCGCATGGGAGACATGGCTCAGCCAACGCATTCCAGCACGCCTCCCACCCGAAACCACGCCAGGACCTGGCCCGCTGCTTGGCACGCTACCCTTCGCCCCGCACACACACTCAACTCTACGCCCCCCACCGCCCGCAGCTGTGGGCAGACCCCTGCACCACTCACCTCAGCCCTGAACCTTTGACCACGAGCAGGCACTATGAGCGGATTCTCCTTCTACCAGGTCCACAAAACCCTGTCAATAACTACACCAGGTCTGCTCAGACCTCACCCTCGCTGACCCTAAGCAACTGAAGCTCTCAGTGCTTCGCAGCAGCCCTCAGTCAGGGCGTCAGACAATACAGTCAGCCCATGCCCCCAAGCAAGCACGCAGCCTTCACTCGGCTAACTCAGCCGCACATTCAACCCAACTCACCACTGCACATAGGCAGCCTCGCCAGCTGTCCACCGCGGTCCACTCTGGTGCGCCCCCGCCTAGATCACTGGCGGGTCCACTCTTAACACGTTGTGATTCTCTCTATGTGAATGATTGCATCAATCATTAATCACCTAAACCACATGCACCATACACATAAGCGCAGTCTGCTTATGCGGAGACTCTCTGCTGGCCGTCATGCAGCATGACGAGGAGACAATGGTTGCTGATCAAAGTCGCCTTCAATATGCCTTAGACCGAACATAGAGAGAATGAGCTACAATCAGCTCATTCTCTTACCTAAATGTTCTGTCCGGCCATCAACCTTCTGCTTAAGTGCTTTGTACGGTAATCATCATGCTCATCAATGCATTACCGGACTCACTCTAGCTCTAGTTACGGCTGACCCTAACGTAATGACCGGGTTGCGAGATAACCCGGTCGCGACACAATCTGGCGTGACACGCGGCCGCACTGGGATGTCGATCATGCGGCATGCATGTACATGAGCGGCTATTTGCACACGTGCATGTCGACATGCATGTTAGTGTGCAACCTTCAGTGACGCTGGTTCACTACCATATACAGCAACTTTGCATCAAGCATTGAGTTCTTCGAATCGCACCAACTTTTGACAATTATAAATATGTCCCAATTGGTGCCGATTCAGCTGAAGTGCATGCATCGTTCAAACATCTGAAGAGCCGGACTTGCATCCTTGGGCCGTGCCAGCTGCTCGTCACATTCTTGTTAGAAACTAGGTCAAGTACACTCCTAAAAGAATCAACGGGCAGGCCTCAGCATTAAGAGATCAACCCTGCGCAACGTCCCACTCTCGAATTCCGGCGGGGGCTTGCGCTTTCCTGCAGGCCTCGACAAATGCTAGTCGTCTACATGCATTAGAGCTCACGTTTCTGCAGAATTAGTTGGATCTGTCCTCTCCTCAACAATGACTTTCTTATCAACGCTCAGAGGCGCAGCCGCCGCCTCCCACCTTCGCCCCGGGGCTTCTTCGCCATAACTCCCCGCCGTCCTACCCGGTCTAGGAGGTCCGTCCCACAGAGGCTCACGCACAATTTCCGGCATCCCCCGTGGAGATATCCGTTCCTGGGGCTCAAAGCCCCGACCGCCATACCCTCGCCCCGGCCCCCCTCCCCGGGCCCAGTCTTCTCTTGGCGGGTACTCGGTTTGCCACATCTGCCGCTCCCGGGCACTATACCCGGGCTCTACCCTTCCCCAGCGGCCCGGAGGCGGTGGCACCGGAACTGGTTCCGGCTCGTCCCGCCACCTTCGCGCTTGGCCCCCCCACCGAGGTGCGGCTTCAAACTCGCCGCCCCTCCAACCGGGGCCGCCCGGCGGAACCTCTGAAGGTCCCAGGTAACCGGGCTCTAGCGCGCCTCTTTCCCGCCACCTATAAGCTTCCTGGGGGGGCTCCATCTCGGGGACAGGCCCCCGCCCGACCGGGACCATCTCCGGCAAAACGTTCGGCGCCGCCCGGTGCCGCCCGGCGAGAGGATCCGCCGGGTAATCCAGCCTGACGTCATACCCTACGTCACCTCTGACAGGGTATCGCGGCCTCTCAGCCGAATACGTCGGCGGCGCTCCCCTCCCGCCGACGAAGGGGCGGTCGTGCGGGTCTAGGTACGGCGCTGCTCGCTCTGGGGGGTAGTAATCGCCCCTAGCTGGAACCCCCCGGTCCAAGGGCAACCGGTCCCTGCTTGGGGGCCTTAGCCCATCAGCCGCCAATAGCTCCCTCGATGGGGGCCTCTCCACCAGCAGAATGTTGGGGGAGTGCACTCGTGGTTGATCGCGAGACACGGGGCGACCGCGGCCCGCATAGGCTTCTCTTTCGGGTCGTCGAGAATCGCCCTCCCGAGGGAAGCGCTCGCCGCTTGCAGGGCGTGCGTGAAGTGCTTTTTCTGGGGGGGGCCAACGGTGCGATGGTGGAGGGGGAGGCTCCTCGGGGGACTTCTTTTGGGCCTTGAGCTTTTGGTAGACGTCAGCCAGCTTTGTCCCTTCCATCGAGGAGAAGGTCGCCGTGTAGGCCCAGAGCCGATTTGCGAGTCCTGAATGGGAAAACAAGACAAAGAGGTCAGCACTAATAAGCACGTTCTTGAACAAACACATGCAATAAAACGGGGTCAGGATTGATAAGCACGCTCTTGAACAAACACAAGCAAGCCCCAATACGGAGATCTTTAAGGGTGCTTTTACAATGTGGGACGAGTTTTGCTCTGGACAGAAGTTTAGGAAACAGAGCGAACAAGCTTTGGATATGAGCGAGAAGACAGACCCCACGACCTCTAAACGAAACAGAATAAAAAACCGACGCAGAATAGTCAGCCAGCCGCTTCCTCAATGGAATAGCTCCCGTTTGTCATAAGAGTCGCTCGAAGCTCATAAAAAAGGGTCAAAAAGGGCGACGGGGATTGTCGGCGGCCGGTTTCGAACCCTGTTTCGAATCCGACGACAATAGTCACAGCTAGACAGTTTGGTTGTGCTACACCGACGTCCAAAGATGGTCTTGAAATACACAAGTATCGAGTGTTGGCTCAACGTGACGTAACCAGTGGTGAGGACGGTAACGTCACCACCATCAAAAGGTGACGTAACCCAGTGCAAAACGCTACGCGCAAAAACGAGTGCGCACTGTCGGGCAGTATAGCTGTGGAGGCCACACTCTCCAGTCCACGACAGATGAAAAGCAGGCTATCCCACTCTCCAACGTGCAGAATCTTCGGACATGAATCTTCCACCTTTGGGACCGCAGTCCCGCACACGGAAGTAGCTGCAAACTGCTTGACCCGATACGCATTCCGCTGAGCCGAGTTCTGCAGTTCTTTGAGCAGAGTGTAAGTCAATAAAGAGCGAAGTGCACTAGAGCTTTCCGAACCGTCCGGATGTCACGGACCTGCTCGTCAGTCGTTACGCTCACTTCTTAGTCCTCCTTATCAGGATCGGACACACCGGTCAGCGTACTCCAGTACTGAACCACCTCCGGCAACAAGTAAAGGTCCCAAGGGCTGAACGGCAAGAAGTAGCCCAGCACTAAAAATGAAAACAGTTGCTCACTCTCCGGATCTTGCCCCGGGTGGTCGTCAATGACCATATCGATGTGCTCCCCCAGCGTCTTGAGGTACTTCTTCACCTTGGCGATCGTCTGCACGCAGCACGCAAGCAATCAGATGGTTGATCCTCAACCAAGGGTCTTACCTAAGCGCGTTTCACCATGTTGCGTAGCTGGTCTCAAACATTCTGCCGATCAGGGTCATAATAAACAAATCCTCCACAACCGCTGTGCATCACCCCCAGCACTTCTTGCAGCTTGAACGCGTCCGCTTCTGCGGCTGCTTCGTGTCGACGCCAAGACGGCTCCGTCTTGGTGGAATACATGGTTTGCAGGTACAAGATTTACATACGTGCGTAGGGACAAGAGGTGACTCGACGTACATGTTTGCTAGTTAAAATCTGTATTCTACCTAGGTGGAGCAACTAGGGGGACAAGAGAAGTGAAACCGGCGAAAGCTTGCCTCTTTCTTGCTCAGGTCGTCTCGGTCCTGCAGCCCCTGCAGCTTGTCCAGCGTCGGCTGCATCTCACTCATCTCCTCCGCGCACCACCGGCGCCACTTCTCGTCTTTCCTCGCCCGCTCCGCATCCTTCCTCGCCTCCTTATCCCCCCCCGCCCCCCGCTCTTTCTTCGCCGGGCGCTCTTCCCTCCTCGCCCCCTCTTTCCGCTTGCCTTTCACCCCCCCGGAATCCTCCACCCGCCGCCTTTTCTTCTTCTTCCACTTCTCCTCCCCCCCCGAGATCTCCCCCTCCTCGCGCCCCACTTCCCCCTCTTCTTCCTCGTCCCTCTCCCGTTTCCCCCCCTCTTTCCTCCCCCTCTGCACACCCCCCCCCGCCGGCTTCCGCAGGAGCAGCGGGCCTTTCATCGCTTTCGATGGCCCCTCGATATGTTCCCGTTCCTCTTTCAGCAGTTTTGCCGCTCGCGCGTCTAAGTGCACCGCGCGCGGGAGAGTCGTCTCGTGGGCGCTCAGCCCGGCTGCCGCGATCTTGTGGTCCAGCCCGAGCCGCTCGTCGGTGCGCATCTTCTCCCAGTTGCCGAAGCCGTGGAAGTGCACGCCCAGCAGCAGGTGCGCGTCGTCCACCTGCGGGTTTGATATTTCAGATTTCAGGGTCTCGGGCCTCAAAATCTCAGCCTGATACTTTGAATTTCAGGGTTTGCTTTGTTTTGGTTTCAAATCTCGCGTCTCAGGTTTCGCGTCTCAGGGTTCCGCTTTTTCGGGGTCCCTGGTTTCTTAGGATGTCCACTTTGTGGTGCTGACTTCTGAGGATCGGGAATCGACAGGCTTGAGCACAGCCTTACTACCGAGTCGTTAAAAAAGCAGGCTGTAAGGGTTCAAACTCAATTAGGAGCAGAGGCTGATGTAAGGGTTAAGAAAATTCCCCCAGCCGCTTCGGCAAGCCAATTCGAAAAATAATGAAAGAATGTTGTGTGAGAGCAGATCTTACAGGGGCTTCACTTCTTAGGTTACACCTTTTAAGAAGCACCAGATCAAACCAAAAGCCTCCTGAATCAAGACAGTGCAACACAACCAGACATCCGCCTCATGGCTATTCCAGGCAGCCGTCTCAAATAATTCTGCATCCCTTCACCGTGGCTCGCAAACCTGAGACTGGTCTCAATTCTAGGCTGTACGGGAATGTTTAAGGTACACAATGCACCCCAAGTCTCCAACCCACTTACCTGCGTCCATCCGCACGTCTTGTGCCATTGCGGGTTCTTTGGGTGGGACTTCAGCCGGTACTGCGACGGCGGGTCGTTGAACCGCCGCACGCTTTTCGCCAGGAGCGTCAGCTCCTTGATCCGCGACAGCACTTCCGCCGCTTTCACCGGAACACCGAAGAAGTCGAGCACCGGTCCCCCCTTTGCGCGCTCCTCGTTGTCTTCTTCGGCGGCAACAGCGGCCTTGCACCCCCGATGGAGTGCCCGGTACAGGTCCGCTTGGTCGTGTGGTTCGGCGTTATCGACTGCCCCCCCAGCCTGGAAACGATACACGAGAAACTTTCAGGAAGAAGATCCTCTTGGTACATACCGGGCTGTTGGTGGGCACCTGATGAGAGCCGTGTAGCCACTTGTACCTCATTTCTATTTCCGAGGCTCATGCCAGAACGACATCCAAGGATACAGGACGCGCATGGTTAGACCTCCACTAATCGATTCCTGGATACCGCCACTAGGATTCAAGCTTGTTTCATCTGTTGAAGAGCGTTGTGCTCTCTTGAAACGTAGGAAACAGAGGATAATCGCCTTGCAAAAGGAGATCTCCTTAGCGCCCGATTGTTTCGTACCTCCTCGGCGATTAGGTCCATCCGGCTCTCGTCCCCAAACTTCTTGACCGCCTTCACAAAGGCCGCCGCGTCCTTCTTCGAGAGGCCCCGCCCGCCCCCCCACTCCGAAACTCGCGCGTGCGCGCCTTCGATCGGTGCAGCCTCCGGAACGCTTTCTTCCCGTGCCGCTTTCTTCAGAGGGGTGCCCCGACTGCGGGGCTTGTCTCGTTTGCGGTCCTTGGGCCGGGCCTTTTTGTCGGTCTCCTCCATTTGCTCCTCCATGTATGTCTTCACCGGGCGGTCCCTGAAGGAAGGAAAGAACACTGGGCTTTGCAGATGCAGGTGAATTTCTGTCAGCATCGGCTTCTGACATCCTCTGGAGCCAAGAATCAAGGAGACGTGTGGGCTGGGTTTACAACAGAACAAGCCAATTGTTAACTCCCAAACAACGAATCGGGTGTTGTTGCAGACTATGTCCGTTGGGACGTCCTGTCCTAAGAACCGAAAATCGTACGCTCGTAGGACCCGTTGGGATTCACCTATGATGAAGCAACCAGCCTTGGCAAAAAAGACTTTGCAATGTCACCTGCCAGCACGGCCTCAACAAACTTTTGCTCCGGAATGCCGTGACTGCCTTTCAAAGGAGACACCCACTGGACCTTTAAATGGCTATCTAGCTTCATTTCGCTCGTTGCCACAACCGCTCAGGCAGCTTCAGGCACCTCTGTTATACTGCATTTATCACTACCCACCGCAGCCACACGTGCATCCACGGCGAACTGTTGGTCGCACGAACGACTATAAAGCCCATCGAATGCAGATTGTATCTCTTTTCTTAGATGGAAAGGCCACGCAAACGAATCCTGAAAAAGCTCTTGCACAACCCTTAAACCCAATGAAAGCCTAAAAGCCCTGAATACGTCATCCTGCAGCGCACCTGGCCGCCCTCTGCCCCAGCCCCGCTTCCTCCTCCGCCGCAACCGGCTGGATGAGCCGGTTCCAAAAGGTGGAGTCGTCCTCGTTGCTCGTGAAGTTGGCCACTTTGAACGTGCCCATCAAGTCGTCGCTGCCTTCCTCGGCGCCCGCGGCGGCTACGGCATCCACCTGCGGGGAGCATATCGCCCTTCGAATCCTCGAAGCGTCTCCGTTAAGACATCGACGCCGTTAGGATATGGCCGTCCTAAACCGCCTGTCGAGGTGCAGTAGGGGACAGCTTTGTCAAGTCTCTTGGGAGCATTAAGGAAGGAGCGACGGGAGTTGGTCGTGTCACGGAAGTAGATCGAGGGACGGCGGACAGTGGCCAAAGCAGGACCACAGGCAGCTTGTTACCAGCGGCCTACTACGGTCTTCAGTCCCAGTCCTGCAAATCCTCTTATACCGTCGCAGGATGGTTAGGCGAGTCCTCAATGTGTGCCATCGAGATACTCTCTTGACCAACACCAACTGCCTACTCGCTCACCCGCAGCTTTTTGCGAACTCATAAACCTCAACTCCTATGCTCACTTTCTGGCGCCTGCCAGGACTTCGTCACTGTCCAGACTCTCAGCAAAACGACTGGGCCTCTTGTTGTCCAGTCCAGTCTCCCACAAATTTGAAACCAAACCGATCGCAACTCTGATTGCAAATCAAATAAGCCAAAACCACATATCACCTTCTCTGGGCGCACCAGGATCTCGTCAACGTCCACATACTCTGCACGAAAACTGCGGCTTCCATCACATTCACCGACGCTAAAAAAGACAAGAACCGCTAATCCTTGATTCTGTGCTCACCTTCTCTGCGCGCGCCAGGATCTCGTCGATGTCCATGTTCTCCAGCTTCTTCTCGCTCTCCTCGCCGCTCTCCTTGTCCTTGAACAGATCCTCCGCGCCAAACCGCAGGATCGCTTTTAAGTCGTCCTCCTTGAACATCTTGCCGCCCTTGTTGCCCTGCCGCCCCTTGTTGTCCAGGTACAACTGCCCCGACGCGTTCATCTTCTGGATGACCAAGTGGTCCAGAATCATCTTCTGGCGCGCGCGCTCGAGAATGTCCTCTTCCACGCTGCCGCTTGTCACGAACCTGCGGGGAAGTTTCTATGTCACAACTAGCTCGCAAACATTCGTCAAGCACGAATTCTTAAGGAGTATATTGGGAAGGCAATGAGGGGCGATCAAAGTTGGCTTTTGAACGTTTAGCTGCCTGGTAGAGTTTCTGATTCAAACGTGCTAATCACGTGGCAGACAGAGCCTTTTGATGTAGAGTTTCGGCCTGAGACCAGTTTCATTGAGTACAGGATATGACGTTCAAGAAGTCGCAATGAGGTGAGCGTGACCTTAGCCAGGCCTGCTTCGACAGGATACGGTAAGTCGTGTCTGGTTGACACTTTGGACAGTGAAATTCCAACGAGCGTTCAGTATTGCATAATGATTCACAGAGCAGATTGTCGACTATGAATATTTTCAGAGTTCGATAAAAGCTCGCAAGAATATTTCGTCACCTGTAGATGTTGACCACGTCCTGCTGCCCGATCCTGTGCGCACGGCTCATCGCCTGCAGATCATTCTGCGGGTTCCAGTCCGAGTCAAAGATGATGACTGTATCCGCGGTCGCAAGGTTCACGCCGAGCCCGCCCGCCCGCGTGGAGAGCAGGAAGCAGAAGTCCTCGCTCCCGGGGGCGTTGAAGTGCTCCATGGCCTGGTGGCGCAGGTCGGCGCGCGTGGACCCGTCCAGGCGCTGCGACTTGTAGCCCTTGAGGCTCAGGTACTCGCCCAGAATGTCGAGCATACGAACCATCTAGAGGGGAAAGATAGTGTTAGTTTCAACTCAACTTTCGCTTCAATACGCTTAGATCTCCTGTTCTTTGGACTCATTCCGAAGCTGTGACTAAGGCTCTTGGATCCAACATCTGGCGGCTTGAGAGAGGATTGATGAGAGGGGACCCGATTCTTGTATGCTGTTGATGTTAGAGCCGCACTATAGCAGCCTGTCCACAGAACGCTGTTCCCAAGTGCTCAAAGACTTTCTGCTAACAACAGGTCGCCAACGAAGACACTTGCAAATCACATCACGACGGACTTTGTACAAGCTCTACCAAAAAGGAGGATAGCATAACAAACGCAGATTTTGACCCTAAGCTCGACGAGCCCCAGAACCCCTGATTTGGGATTCTCCTTCACGAGCTTCATGATACCGGCATCTGCAGAAGACATGAGCACAAAGAGACCCGTCTCTTTACTAAACCGCGTCTGCAGCTTGTCCAGCAGCAGCACCAGCTTTCCGCCGCAAGCTCTTGAAAATCAGCAAACCCAACTTAGGAATTCCTTTCCAGGGGGGCTTTCATCAAGGTTCTCAGAGCCCCACCTGCGAGAAGATGAGCACGCGGTGCCCCGTCTCCTTGAGCCGCGTCAGCAGCTTGTCCAGCAGCACCAGCTTCCCGCTGCTCAGCACGAGGCGCTGCACGCGCGTGCGGTCCCCCGAGTCACCCGCGTAGCCGTGCTCTGCGCTTTCGAAGAGGAACGGGTGGTTGCAGCACTTCTTGAGTTCGACCACGACGTTGAGGAGGGACAGCTGGCCGCCGCCCTTGGCGCCGCGGTTGAGGTCCTGGAAGTTGCGCTCCAAGATCCACTTGTAGTACCTGCGGGAGGGGAGAAGGGTTTCAGGCTTTTGCTAAAGACCACGCATCTTTCTACCTGACGACAGACGTCAGACAAAGAAGACAAGGGGCCGGATCCGGAAGCGATTCACGGTACAAGATTCAATCTGGCAAATGCCGAGCTGCAAGAACTTGGGATGGCTGATAATCAGCTTCAAGCGCAACCTAGCCACTCTTGAAAAGAGCACACATCAATCTCGTGGGCTTTATCGCTTCCAACGCTTCACAGAGTACGCTATGGGTGTCTCCTAAGTGCAATTTGCGGAGCCAGACTTAAACAAACGTTTCGAGCAGAGTTCAGCCCACGTGGCCGGTGAATCAACCGGATGAAATAAGGTCATGAGTGGCTTACTGCTTCTGCAGGGGTGACATCCCGACTCGCAATATCCGCTCGTACTTGGGCGGCAGCGACTTCTCGACGTCCTTGATGACGCGCCGAAGTAGGTGCGGGCGCAGCTCCTCGTGCAACTCTGCGACCTGCGCACAAGTAAAGAGGGCTATCATTGCGAAACGTACTTGGAAATGTCAAAGCGTCCGAGCGTGCTCGTTGTTAAATGCCTGTTCTTTCGGCTGCGCTGAGAAGCTTAACCCGAGAAGTGTTTCCAGAGGACGTGCCGGCTGAGTCGGTCAAAATGCGAGCCGTGAAGACTCCAACGACATTCATGTGTCAAAGAGCAAACGGCGCTTCCTCAAACTTCGACAAGCTACCAAATCGCCGACCGTAGAATTATTGTACACCAGAACGACCTTTGAAGGGTGGTTCTTGTAGACTTAGCTTCGAGATTTCGCCACATGGCCAAACAGCCGGGCCTTTTTCAATCAAATTGTGACGCTCTGCTCCGTCTGACCAAAGTGCTTTGAGCAACCGATTTTATCTCGCACATCGGCCTTCACGCGGACTCACGTCTTTGACGTCCTGCAGAGCCTTGTACCGGTCAATGAAGGCCTCCCGGTTTTCGAAGGGGAACTTTCTGGGCTCGAGGAAGTGCAGCAGAGCCCTGCGAAAGAGTAGAGAGAAGCAATTGTCTTTTCTGATTCCCTAGGTGTATACTTTGACGAATATTTAGGACAGCTCTTGCGTGCTCGTAAGTTCCCCTCTGGACGCGAAAATGCCGCTGAACGGTGGCTTCCACTGTGACACAACGCACGAGCAGACAAGAGCATCCTAAACAGAAGCCCAGTACTCTCAACATTCTTGACACCAAATCTTGTGGCCGAAAAGGGCGAGACTTAGTAACACAACAAGGAGGTCGGTCCCTATTAGAATTAGATGCGAGAAGGGCGCCAGCTCCGTTAGAGTTCCGCTGCGACAGGCTCGGCTCTCACCAGAGCTCCTCGATGTTGTTTTGAAGAGGCGTGCCGGTGATGAGCAGCTTGTTCTTGGAGGAGAACTCCTGCAAGCAAAGAAGCGGACGAGCAAAGTCAGCGCAGAATGTGCGACCAGTCTCAGAAGGTAAGTCATGTATTGACATGCACGGCTATCTCCTTTGATTGGTCACTGTTCCAAGGAACAGCAGATTGCTGAAACTGTACCTGGCCGATTCGAAAAGGAAGGAAAGGGAGCAGCCAGCATTTGGGAAGAGAGCAGTTTTGGCAACAGACGCTCCACGATCCAGAACGCCAAAGAGACTGAGTCTTAATGCATCGATTCCCTTCTTTAAAGTGTAGCACCTCAGACTAGTCCAGTAGACGTGAATACCCTTGAACGAAGCAGAAAGCCCTCCAGCTTTAGGGTTTCTGACTTTCTTCTTTCAAAAATTTAGACTTTGCTTCCTGCGTGTCTGAGGAGTAGGACGATTATCATTGAGGAGGGTTAGAGCCCCTTACACTCGTTGAGCAGCAATCACTCATTTACTGATCCAAGTAGTTCTGTGACTGTCGAAGGGTTGAATATCTCACCATGAGCGAGGTGTAGAGCGCGGCCTCGTGGTTCTTGAGCCGGTGCGCCTCGTCGACCATGAGGTAGCTCCACTTGATCTGCGACAGCTTCGTCTTGTCCTTCATCACGATCTCGTACGTCGTGATCAGCGCGTTGAACTTGACCGCCCGCCCGCTCTTGCGCCCCGTCCAGAACTCGTTGCTCATGATCAGGTCCCGGCTCGCGCGGTTACCGACGTAAACCACGATGTTCATGTCGGGAACCCACTTGCGAAACTCCTTAACCCAGTTGGTTACGACAGAGAGCGGGACGACAACTAGGAACGGCCCCTGGATTTGCTGTTCGTTTTGGAGGTAACCCAGCATGGAAACGGACTGGAGCGTCTTGCCGAGGCCCATCTCATCCGCCAGAATGATATTGATGTCGCGGCCCCAGCTGCAAGGAGAGAATCTTTCAGGGTGGTTTTGCGGTTGACAGAATCTTGCTATGCTTCCTGCCAAAAGCTTCAAACAAAGAAAGGACGGCCAGCTGGGAGGTACTTAGGTTGCGGAGTCCTCTTGCCAGCAGCGCTCCTACTGGTCGTGAGCCACCAATCAATCTTTGATAAACAACCTATGGCCACCAGGAGGAACGGCTCCTATCGACATCCAAAAGGAAGACTAAACGTGAGGCAGCCTGAAAGCCCGCTGTCTCAATTCCAAAGAAGACTACCCTTACATTTTTTTCGTTCAGTCTGTAAAGCAGCGAGATAGACCTTCGTCCTCATCGTTGACTGGAATAGAAAAGAAAGAGCCCAAAAAGCTTGGCATAACCCCCGCACGCACCTGTAGATGAGCCGGTTGAGCCCTTCCAGCTGGTAGTCCCGCAGCTTGCCCCCCCCTTTCAACCACTCGGGCTGCTCCGCCAGCGAGAGGAACCGCTCCTTAATATCTAGAACGCGCCGCGCCTCGTCGACCGTCTTGCCCCGGATGCTCGAGTTGGCCTCGCGCGTCTTGAACTCGTCGATCTTGTCCTGGGCGAATGCGATGTCGTTCACGTTCTCCCTGCACAGGATAGGGCATGGATTGTGCATTGAAGAACGGTGCGAGGTTCGCAGATGATTGAAGAGAGGCTTATAGATAAAATTTGCCGCAACGGCCCTAGAATCGCCCTGTGCCAGAGTCTACTGGACCTCTTCAAAATTCTGGACAAAAATGGACGCGTGGAAATGGTTCCGGACAGATCAAAGCTAGACTCCAACGGTTATGATCGGCATCGATCTTGGAATAGTATCTTTGAAGTCAGGAGGCCCGATTTAGTTTCCCATTTGAATGTTATTGAAATCTCCTGAGCTACTTCTTTCACAAGAAAGACACTTCAGGAGCCCTCCGAAGAAACCGTGGCCATGCCGTACGCTTCGGAACAAAGCTCGGCCGTACGACTCACCACGTGGCTTCCTCGTACGCCAAGCCCTGCCACTTCACGAAGTACTGCTGGACTTCTTCTCCGTCCTCCCCCGTCGTCACGCCCTCCGCGATGATGCGATCCACCTGCATGGCAAGGAAGAAGCCCAATCAGCGCCCTGAGATGCGGATAGGCGTGCTACAGAAAGCATGACTTGAGCAGAAGCCTATAGACCTTCCCAGCAAACTGAACATGTTTCCTGCATCCGGGATACAGCTGCTTCCTCCGTCTAATGGTGTCGGGCAAAGTTCAGAGAGTTAGTGAACGACTGCAGACTGAAGCAGAGGCCGGCTTGAGCTTGCAAGCACACAATGGATGGACAGCAGACGAGACCACGTTGTCATGGATGCCCACATTTGCGCCTTCCCAAATCTGGAATACGATAGCCCATACCTTCTAAGCAAGCACTTGGTCTTGAACTTTGCCTCAATCAAACGACCAGCAGCCCAAACCCGACCCGCATTCTGCACTGCCATCAGCTGAATACCTTTTCTAAGCTTTTGACGCGGTCCAGAAGACGAGCAGGCCAAATCCTACCTGCGTGTACTGCTCCAGCATCTCCAGGTCCATCTCCTTCTGTACGTCCATCAGCTCCGCCTCCTCTGGCGACACCGCGTTCCGTCGCGCCAACTCTTGCTCGATCCGCTTCATGTAGTTGCCCACGCGCTTGAACCCCGGCAGGCCCTCCAGCGTTGCCAGAGACTCCCAGGTATTGTGGATGTACGACCGGCCTTTCCATTTGACGTAAAACTCAACGCGGTCCCAGTCAACCTTTGGGCCCCGGGGGCCCGATTCCGCCTATTGAAAAGGCGATTCTCGGTTAAGCAGGGGTTAGCGCTTGCCTCCGATTGCAAACTGAAAGTGCAGTACAGCAATAGCGTGTCTCTAAGCCTGAGATGGAAGAATTCGGTCTTCTGGTTGGTATGAAACAGCACTTCATCTTGCGAAGCAGTGCGCCAGCGTGTTCTGCATTATCAGGTACTCAGAGGCAACGTCTGTTCACTCATAGGATCACAATATCCAGAAATAGTCAATGTATGGCCCCAGCAGCCTACATTCGCCTCGCCTCAAGCTTCATCACCTACCTTCGGCGCCGTGTCCTCTCCCGCCGCCTCCTTTTTCTCAGCAGTGCCCACGGGCTGGTGACTCCAAACGGACTCAATCGCCTCTCCGTCTTCTTCCTCCTCCACCGCCGCAGGCGCCGCCGCATACTCTTCGTCTTCTGAGTCCCCCCCTTCGTAGTACGATTTCGGCTCCATTCTCCCGGCCCGCGAGCGAGTCGCTCTCGCGGTGGCCCCCCCACCAGACGCTCTCGCACGCCCCTTCTGCTTCCTTCCCCCCCGCCGCGTTTCGAAATCCTCGTCGCTTTCTTCGTCGTCCGAGGGGGAAGGCTCGCTCCGGGCGCTCCGACCGCGACGCTGCGGTTTTGAGGCTTTCCGCAGGGTGCCGACCCGCCGGCCCATGGTGAAGTCCTCGTCGCTCTCTTCGTCGCACGCCTCGGACTCGTCCGGAGTCTCCTGGAACAACAGAGTTGATTGATTCGGACTGGTTCTAGTAAATTTCGTCATTGGGTGCGTCGCATGCGTCCTAAGAATGTCTCCTTCATATGGCATACAGTCTTGTCCAATAAAGCCCTGTCTCTTTTCAATCCAAAGACCCGACAAGTCCAAGCTTGCAAAAACTCGACCATTTTCACGATCTGATAGCTGATCGCAAAACGGATCCAGGCTGAGAACCAGTCCCAAACATAGCTGGAGGCCTTCACTTAAAACCGGACTCTTTCTCTATGATAATACTCCTCTGGACGCGCCTGTCTCGCGTTCGTATAGGTTGAAAATATGACATAGTCTCTCAACCGGCTTCATACAACCTTGGTCTTTGTACCCACATCTTGCATACCCACATGACGACACGATTTGTGTGCCCTTAACTTCAACAGCCCGACTCTACCACGTAGGTCTTCATGCCTATATCCGAAGCACCAACACTGCAAGCATTTGTGATTTGATGCGCTTGCTCACCTCTTCCTCGTCATCCACAATAAAATCATCCTCGTCCTGCGCCTTCCGCGGCTTCCGTGCCTTCCCGCCCCCTTTGCTCTTCTTCGGTTTCTTCTCGACATATTCTTCCTCCGACTCCTCCGTCTCTTCCTCCTCACTATCCTCCTTGTACGTCCCCCTCCGTGCCCGCGCACTCCCCGCTCTAGTACTCCTCCGGACGCTTTTCCGTGTCCGGTCCTCGTCCGAGGAAGCCCCGTACGACTGCTTCCCGACCTTGCGCAGGCGGCCGCGCTTCTGAGGCGCCTTCTTCGACGTGGAGGCGCGCCGTTGCGACCGCCGCCGCGTGTCGTCATCAGACTCCGACTCGATGAAACTGTCTTCGTCCTCTTGAGACTCGGCCTCAGAGTCCTCATGGTCGCTGCCATGGCGACCGGTTTTTGCCACCGGGCTGTCGGGCTGGAACTCCTCGTCGTTCGGGTCATCTCCTGCACCACCCAGAACAAGAAGCTTGACCAAAACTGGTTTGTGTTGGGTTTATCGCTGGGGCCGACTCCTGCGCCAGTTAGAAAGAAGTCGGTCAAGTGAAAACTGTTCACGTAAGATCAAACGCTCAGGTCGCTTTTAGCGCAATAGGAATTAGCGGAATTGACTAGACATACTTGGAGGCGTGATGAGGACAACTCATGTACGGAGAGCAGAAAGGACTGTGAGCCAAGTTGGTCAGGGTTGACTACGCCTACTCCTACGCAGACAAAGTCATTTCTCGTTGGTTGGCCTGTCACAGGCTGGACTTCTCTGTCACGTTAACAGTCTACTCTTCCATAACAAAACAACCGCGCTGATCTGTGGGTGTTTAAAAAAAGTTTCTGGCCAGGTGGGCTGTCCTTGACCAGGTCAAGAGCGAGAATGGCCGAGGACAAGTGCACATGCTGACAAGCAATCTGCGTGTGCAAATCTCACCACAGAATGTGCATTCTGGACCGGTTGCCTTACTCCAGTTGCTTTTGTTTCATGTCAAGCAGCTGAAAATCTTACAATTAGGGATATGCATCGACCTTTATGCATCGTTCCACCATTTCTTCTGTCCTCAAAACAACATCAAAGAGAATATACACCATAAGCTAGCATGTGACAGGCTCCCAGCCAAACCGGCAGCGTGTTTTGAACGCTTCATTCCCTGGCAAGTATCCCCTAGAACAAGGACCACAAGGGGGCCCGCACAACTTGGACCGCATAACTGGACCACACGACTCAGCAAAGTGGCCCTCACCCTCATCCTCTTCGCTCTCCTCATCATCCTCCGGGTCAATTGTCTCGATCTTCATGCTCCTCCCATTCAATGCTTTTGGCAGCGGGGCAGCCTTGGGACTGTCCGGCATGCTGACGTCCGAGTCGGACGGGTACTCCCGCTTAGTCAATATCTTTTTCTTCTGTGGTGGCGCCCTCGGCCGCGCCGGCGCCTCCCCCTCCCCGCACTCCACTATTTCTCCCAGCACCTCCCCATCATCGCTCCCAGACTCCTTCACTTCTTCTACAGGCTCATTCAGAACGGTGTCTTCCGCTGGCCCTTCTCCCCCATCTACAGGGACCCTGTTCTGAACCACTTCAAAACCAATTCCCTGCACGTCTTCCCGCCCAGCGTCCTCTGGATGCTCGCCTGAAGACGCGGCTTTCTCACTCAGAGCGCCTTCGCTCTCGCTCAGGCCCCTGTCCCCGTCTCTTTCCTCCTCCTCTGCGCTGGGCCCCTCTTCTGGCACTTCGTAAGCGACCGGCCGCTGCGGCTTCCGCGGCTTGTGTGCAACAAGATCGGCTTCGTCAGGCTCGGCGTCTGACTCTGCCTCCTCTGACTCGCTGTCTTCGTCGCTGTACTCGCTGAAGTCCTCTTCTTCGGACTCGGACTCAGAGTTTGCATGGCGCTTAGGCATGCCGACACGATATTGTGAAATCCGCTGCAAAAGGAAGAAGGAAGGTGCATTGTCAAATCTCAGTGATGCCAATGGACATGCTGTATCACGAGGTTTTGCGTGTATGGATGATCTCAAGGAGTGACTGACTTCTCTAACTGTCCGAGCTGGAATCCTGCACTTCGGCGGTCTGAGTTCCTACCCAAATTCTGAGAACAGTCCAGTGTTGGGCTAAAGAAGGTGGGGCTCTGGGATCATCGATGAATCTGGAGGATCAGTGGTGGAACACCCTGCCCAATGAGAGAGGTGACCTGAGGCTTTTGAACACCAATAAAGGGGAGCTGTTTGGCAGGAACAAACATCACATTAGCCAGCTAGGTCAGACCATATCTATGTTGGATTTTTGCTGATCTCATGTCAGGCCAAACACATTCAAACAATTTTGGTTGTTGCATTAGTCACTTAGAACTGCTTGAAAGAGACTCCAATGAGAGGCTTCAGCACAAACAGAAAGGAGTCAATATAAGGTGATGCTGCAGGTTGGAAGAATTGATCGGTCGACAGACTAGACAGTACATTGTCAAGAGCTCAATGCAGCTGAGAATATGAGCTGATGCTGCTGACAGGCTGTGGTGAAAAAGAACTACTGTAGACAATGCGCTGCTCATGTGAGTTACTTCAGCAACCTTGTTGAGCACTGCTTCTTTGTAAGCCACTTTATGATAAGGGCAAAGTCATAACATCAACGCACATAGCGGCATGCTTGCCTTTTTGATTCCCGCGACGAATCAAAAGTTGCCAGGCAAACGTGCTCACCAAAGGCAAGCCGCTCTCTGGGTGTAGCTGATGACCTTTTATCCAGTTTAAGAATAAAATGCAATGAGCTGTGTCCACATCAAGGTCTTTGGCAGGCTCGCACTGCTTGATGATGCCAAGCGACTCGATCAGAAATGACTGCAGGCCCAGACACCACTGAAATGTGGTCTTGCCTCAACGACGGCGCTGCACTTTTCCATCGGACATTCCTACAGTGGCAGCAAGCAAATAACTCCTAAATCTTTCCATCCTCAACTGCGCTTGGCCTCAATCAGTTGGGAGTGAAGTGGCCACAGCGCGCTAGCCAGCAGCTTCAGCCTTCAGGCTCAGGCTCAGGCTCAGGAGCTTGGCCGCCTTGCAAATCTGCAAAGCCGACCATCTTGGACCCTCACAACGCTCACCTATTATTGAAAATTTCGGGCATAATGTTGATTGTAACCTGCGCCCCTAACCATCGCCTTTGAACTCGAGCGGCAGGCTAGAATGAGAACCGAACCCTGCAGAAGGATCCACAAACGGTCGACAAAACCAACCACTATAAGTGGCATGAAATTGGACGCACGAATTTGGTGCCTCAACGGTCCAGAAATGCAATAAAATCATCGTACGGGCGAGACATATATGGTGAGAAGCTCTGCGGCTGTTCACACCATCTCGGCCCGTCGTAATCAAACTCATCACACGAAGGAAACCATTGTGAGATTCTCTGCGGCTTTTCACACCATCTTGGCCTTGTCGAGATGATGAGCAGATTGAGCAGATTGAGCAGCCATCTGGCAGCCAGCCTGGAAGCTCAGTCGGCCGCAAAGGGAACTCTTCCAAAGAAATTGAGGCGGATCGGAAGATACGGTAGGAAAGGAACGCTCACTGTCACATGGTACATTGTTTATCTTTGCAGTGTGGGCCTGTCATGTTATGACTCGATGCAGGTCTTTGTGCCTGAAAGCCGGCGCGCTGAGATAGTTGTCGAGGTTGGCAGAATGGAGGAGAGACAGGCCGACCCGATCGAAGACAGACGCCAGTCAGAAGAACAAGACTCGAACAGCGGGGAGGGCTTGCAAAAGAGCAACGCAGGCAATTGTGAGCCATTGCATGCAGACCTGAAGGGCGGCCCGCTTAGCGTCGCGAGTGATGTGGCTAGAGCCCAAGCTCCTGTAGAGCAGCGATCAAGGCCGACGCATCCTGACACCAATGTGCAGCTGTCTCCAGGACACGCTGGGCCTTCTGGAGGCTCGGTTGGCGCGTCTAACGAGACCGAGGCAGAAGGAGTTACACAGCATGGTGCCGCTAGCTCGAGTCATGTTCCGTTGAGTGCGTCTCAGGAGCAGGAAGACATTCTTGAAGCTTGGAGAAAGAGGCGGCGGCAGGAGATGGCTGCCCTTCAAGGTGTGCCTGCGGGCGGGAGTTTCCATAAGCGGGGCCCGGAGCCAGGACTGAGCACAGACCAGGGTTTGCAAAACCAGGGTGTGAGTGTTTTAGACCAGAGGCAGAGGGCGGAAAGTGCAACTGTGCTTGTGCGTGGCAGCGATGAGGAGGACGAGGAGTTGCTCAAGAACTTGCGCAAAAGGTGAGCACATAGAACGTCAGTGTCACCTGACTGTCATATAAGGTCTTGTCGCAGTTTTTTTGGGGCTTGTGGTGGACTCCCAGGTTGAGGAGACGAGTAGAGCGAGAAGGAAGAGGTTCTTGATGGGGACAAGGAGGTTCTTGATGTTTCAAGAAGTTTATTTTCCTCCCATCTTTTTCTGGTGTGGCGCTTCAGCTACTCTTAACTTTGCTCGTTGTTGCGGGCTTGAGTTGCGGGATTGTTGGCTATTTATGGAATCAGGAAGCGCGCGCTGTCGGGCTTGCTTCTTAGTGGACGTCATTTATCCTCAAGCTTTCTACTGAACCTACTGCAGAGCATCCCAATCAGATCAGTGTCAATTAAAGCTTTTGCTTCAACTTTGAAGCGGCCATTTACGTCCTGGCTATGGACCCGCAGAAGTTGTCTCTTGATCGCATTTCATGTCTAGCTTTCCCTTATGAAGAAGCTGTTCGGAGCACCCTGCATAGGCTGTTCTTCCCGTTTGCCTCCCAGGTGGTGAGCACACGCATCTCCTCTTCAAAATCTGGCACAAGATCACCTCACTCCGCTTCTTTTCTGCCTGCTTTGAGGTGATTAACTCCTCATCTTCTCTTTCAGGCTTGGTATTGAGCCTGGTCTTCCAGGACCAGTCTCGAGCCCCACTACCTCTGACCACCCCCCCACCGCATCGGGCACTCCTCAACCAAAAGAAGCCCCTCATTCCGTTTCGCCCCCTGCTGAGCTCGCCCCGCAGTTGCAGAGCCCCGAAAGCCTATCCCCCGACACACGCCCGACCCGCCACAGTTTTCCCCAAAGCCCCCGACGGGCTCAGTCACAACCGATCCGGTTCAGCAGCAACACCCCACCCGCCAGTCCCCGTAGGTCACTCAGCCCCGCTGCTAGCGCTGGCAAGCGCAGCGCCTCCGAGCCTGCTACCAGTAGGATGCATCCGTCTCTTTCTCCCACCCCCCACTCTAATTCAGAACCTGCCCAGTCCGACGTTTCCAGCCCGTCTAGCTCTCCCAGTGCGTCCAGCCACTCAAAACGCTCGAGCCCGTTTGAGTTCTCTCCCCCAGAGACGCCCACCTCTCAGGGGGGTCCCCGAGGCCCCATTTTTGAGGCCCCCGCAAGGAGCTCCGGATTGCTGACAGCAGAGGATGAGGCCCTGCTTGCGGCGATGTCGCTCGTGGGCCGCAGCCGGAGCCGCAGCTCGCCGTCCAACCGGAGGCTGCCACGTGGCGGATCGGGGCTTCCCCCGCAGCACGTGCCGCCGTCGCAGCTGCGACGAGCGATCAGTATCGATCCAACGGTTGAGGCCCGTGCAGTGGAGAAGCGCTCTGCGGAGCGGATGAAAGCAGTCGGGGGAATGAGTGGGTCCTTGGAAAGAGCGGAAAGGCAGGATGGGATGCAGACTGGGGTTGTTGCGGAAGAATCGGAAGGGGGATTCGCAGGATCGAGAATACTTTCCCCAGAACGAGGGACCAGTGAGAGGGGCTTGGGAAGTGACAAGCGGCTGAAACGAGCCGAGGGAGAGTCTGCCGGGGGGGCCGCTCCTGCATGGAGAAACGTAACACGTTCTGGGGGCTTGGAAGCAGAGCCCAATAACAGGGGGGGAGAGGAGACTGACAAGTCAGCAGCAGAGTTCGAGAGGGTTCGAATTGAGACATTTGACCTGCACAAAGGTGCTGCTTCTGAGTCTGAACAAAGTAGCGGGGGGGCGCAACTGAGCGAGCGACCCGACATGTCAGCTGAGGCACCGTCAGAAGGGGGTTTGGGGCGGGTTAAGAACGTAAACCGGGGGTTAGTGCTGCAAATTCTGGGATTCGAGGACGAGGACGACCTGGAGGGCTTTGGACGATTCCTCTCCCCTGTTCGAACCAAAGTTTCGGACGCTGGCAAGAGCCGACTCGCGAGAAAGCGCAGCAACTCGTTCTCGGAGTTCTCGACAATCCCAAGCCCGCCACAGATGCCCGCTCGGGCACGGGGGAGTATCGATCGTGAGGAGTGGAGCCCAAGTCGCGGTCGCAAGGGGTTCGGGTTTGCGGGGTTCCGAGCACGGAAGCCGGTCCCAATGCAGGTAGGTCGCTGACTTTCATTGGTCTTCATTCCGATTCATCCAATGAGTGCCGGTTTTTGGTCCCTGGAATTCCTTGCAGTAGTTTTCCGAGTGGCACCAGATCGCTTCTGGAGACGTTTTCCTCTGTTGTCGTCGATTAAAAGGAGATGGAGGAAAGGGCTTGCCAGGTGATCTTTGGGAAAGAAGCACCTAGCTAACACAGTATGAACATCCACGATGATGAAGACCCGCTGCATCACTTGCAATCACCATCTGCGATCACTCACTGAGCAAGACAAGATGCATAATCTGAACCGCAGAAACCACACCAACATTCTGCTTTTCGTAATGCAGCCTGCAGTGGCGAACCTGATTGCGGAGACGGTCGAAGATTTTTGGTCGTCGGATCTGATGGGGGCGTGGGGGATGGGTGGCCAGAGCGACCCGGAGGCGAGCGACGCAGAGCCGACATCGGCACCCGGGGGCAGCGTGGGTCCTTTGACCGACGACTTTATTGTTGGTTTAGACGTTCAATCGAGCGGTGTTCCGAGTAGTGAGTCATCCGGGCGGGACACGGGCGGCAGCAAGGGGTCGGGGCCTCCGCTGTTGCACCGGCGAGTTGTCAGCGGAGAGTCGGTACGAGGACAGGGCGATTCAGAGCCGGGGGCCGATCCAATCAGGCCTCCTGTCGTAAAAGAGTCTCCCAAGGAAGGATCAACACTAGACATTCAGTTGCAGCCTCCATTCGACGCCGTCGGTTCTGTGGTGCGCGAAAGAGAAGGGTTGAAAGCACAGTCGGAGAAGTCGTTAAATTTTAAGGCTGCAGCAAGCGAGGCCGGGAAGGTGACGCCACCCCCGGACGTTGCTCCCGTAACGGAAGGGTCAGTGAAGGGACAGTCAGAAGCCGTTTTCGGTCTTGAAGAGACGCCGTCTTCTGACCCTTTGACGGATTTATGTAACCAAGCGCCCGCAGCTGGTGGGACGTCTGTAGAGATTCCAGTAGGAGATGATCAGCACGAGAGTGGAACTTCCAGCAAGCTAGATGTGAATAGTATCGGTTCGCTGCCGGGGCACGTGGAAAGCGGCTCAACGTCAAAATGTAGTGAAACCGTTAGCGAAGTGCATGCCCGGCTGGGGCCGCCGCTGCTGGATGACGTCTTCGAGGACGGGCCTGACATCACGAGGCTCAGGGCGGACATCCACAGGCGAGACGAGGACATCAGGTAGGGCTCTGCTGACGTCGTTCTTTTCAGGAACCTCTCTATGTTGAAGTCTCACGTAATGGATTCCTCCAACAAGTTGGCATCCCTTTCCTTTTCTGTATTAATGTCAGACACAGTACCGCATGGTCGGTCTGGTAGTGTGATCCGAGACGCAATGATTTGGACGCACTGTTTTTGCTTGCTTCGTCAGGCAGCCCTTCGTGATGTTTTGGAAAACAGTGTCGCGAGCAGACTGGTCATCGAGCGTGCTCTTGTTTGATCATGCGCATCAAGAGAGCAGCTATTGTAATTCGAAGAGTCGCTCAACAGAGCGTGTTTCGTTCTTACAGAGGGATCCGTGCTTCAAGAGATTACTAGCATGAGACGCTTCCCAAGCAGCGCGGAGCAACCCATCTATTCTTTGGTAGGAAACACATTGAAGCAGCGTGCCACTTCTTTGACGTAGAGCTGTCGCCGGTATCGGCATGTGCATACTTTGTAGGCTCGAAGGGAATATGCTGGTCCCGTGGTTGTATTGCTTGTTCTAGGACAAATTTAAAGGCAGGAGCTGTGTCTCGTCGTCAGTCAGCGGCAGCGGCACACCTTGTGAAGCAGTGGACCGCGATCAGCAATTTTTGAGTAGAAGAGTTCTTTTTCCACGCTAGGAACTCTTGTTTGCTGGGAGCGCTGAGATTGCACTCGTGATCATGGTGGAGATGGTTTTGCACCGATATGACGATCGAAGTAGAGTCTTAGCTGCCGGGCCTCTATCGTCAATATTATCCTTCACGTCATCTTTTCTAAAGAATTGTCTGATTCGACTGGACTGCAATGGTATGCTCGTCGGATGCGATTACATATAAGCTGCACATTGTCGACTTGGGAGATTCAATCACGATGTTAATTTAATTGATAGCTATACTAAAGCTTTGTTCGTCTTACATATGTATGGCTCGCCCGCCTAGCTGCGTTTTTGTATTTGCTACGAGCAAGGGATCCCGCTTTGCATATGCTATGCCTAGCTTAGCGTTGTATCGTCGACCGTGCTCGGCTAGTCACAAAAGCGGCGGCCTTCCATATGTGCAGAGCTTGTGCCTGAGCATGCAACGGCAGCTTGCACCTGACAATATCTGGATAGTATCCCTAAATTTGTAAACATATACGTCTACGCATATCTTCTTTATGTGCTAGGTTCGATTTCGGCCTTGTGGCCCAAACAGCCTTATTGAATCCAAAGCTCAAAGTTAGTAATTGGCAAGCTTATTGAATACATGATCTCGATCGCCTACAATGATGTGGGGCAATTGATAACCCTGGCACCGGTCCTTCAATGCAATGGTAAGCTCATCTTGTCAATTAATCTCCTCATAAGCCCGATTTCGATGTTGAGCTGGCTACCGTCAGGCAAAGCCCGAATGAGGTTACCTATGCAACCTGGTACACGAGCTCAACCATCGTCGTGTTTTTGCATCCCGCATGTTCTATGTTTTTGCTAGGTCATATTGGTTGTAGTATAGGACCTTAGGTGGTCTTTCCACATGAAACCCTTTTCACGAAGCCAAGTTGCATGCAATGCAGCCTATAGTTTGAAACAATCAAAGTCGCTCCGCTATTTCTGCCAAAGGTCAGAGGTGATCTGGAAGCTGGGGTCACCCGCAACTCATCTGCTGCCGTTCAATCTACACATGATTGAAGTTACCACTTTCTCAACGTCACTAGCAACTGCGGAAACTCGTCTTTCAAAGCTCGCAGAAACTGGCGGTCGATCTCCATTCCAATGTTGTGAGCAAAAAAATGTTTTGGCCGTGTCCGTTTCAGCACCTGCCGAACTACAGCGTGGTCGATCTGGCGTGCTTCCACCATTTCTTTCTCACACAAACAGGACGAAGCATGGATTGCCCTCCATCCGACTATCTTGATTGAGCTTTGTAGCTCGTTGTTGGGTTCCCGGAAAATACCCTCTTCAGCATCCATCCAGTCATGGAGGACTAAGTGCTTGACCTGCTTGCGAAAACTGAAGTCTAAAAGGGCTGAGACTGTTGGGAATGTATCCCGAACTTCCAAATAGTCCAGATTTGACACAGCCGCAAAGATAGCCTCAACATTCAACTTGCCTCCTCGACCTGTGACCACTAGCTTCTTCAGACTGGGCATTGGCGCCTCTACTGATACAAACAGATCACCTGTGGCATTTATCAGCTCTAGTTCAGTCAAGCTAGGACACATCATGGCAATTTGAAGATCGTCCTCTGGGCCAACGACTTGCAGTTCTTGAAGGCTCTTGCACCTGATGTGGAAAGCACGTACAGCTCTCAGGTCGGAGTCCTCTCTGACCTCTAGTGTTTGGAGCGAGTCAGACTCTATGGTGTATTTGCTGGCCTCATTGGCGCCAACGCCGTCAAGCACGGCTTCCCGCAAGCGAGGCATTACCTTGAGCAGTCCCTTGAGTGTGGCAGGGGGAAGGGAGCAACCTAGCAGCCAGAGTTGCTCCAGCTTCTCAAACACCCCAATAGATGTGGGGCTGAAATCCAGAACCGCTAGGTTGAAGTAATTTACACCCCAGTAACCCGCCCTTGCATCCAACACCAGCTCCTCCAGGCGCTTGCAGCTTGCTAGTGTGAAGAACAGCAGCTCCCAGCACTCCGGCTGGCGTGCCTCCCAATCCTCTGTCGAAATGTTCAGCTGGAACTTCCTCAGAGTTTGAAAGTTCAATAATAAAGCCGTCTGACACACCAAGCCAATGTCCACCCCCTCATACCGGATGTCCAATCTGACCTCCTCAAGCGGTCTTGCACGCCAGGTCTCTATTGCATCCTTGTGAAAGAGCATCTCATCCCTGGCATTGCCGATATGCCAAAGCAAGACATTACCTAGTGCTTCCTTAAACATCCTACAAACTGTCTTCAGCCGCACCAGCATGGCCTGGGGTGTCGCTGGAGTTGAGCTTCCCAATCTGTCCCGAATATCAGACAGCAGGATTCTCTCCAGCAAAGGAGCTGGTAAATGGTAGATGGAAGCCATTCGAACAGCTGAAACAGTGACACTGAGAGGGCGGCGCGCCCTTCCTTCCTTCCAAGTTCCTTCCTTCCTTCCGGTCCACTAAACTCAAGTACTTACCAGTAGTACTTACTCGGACCGTCCGATCGGGGCAAAACCTGCGCGCGCAAGATGAAGGGCTTCGATAACTGTTCGATGGATGGAGTGCTGATCGACGGTTGGTGTGAATCAAAGTTTCCGCGAAACAAGTGTACCCGGCATGGAGGAATTGCATGTGCGGCAGTCACCGTATACGCGGTGGTCCTCACGGCGACCAGGTGCCTTCACGCCCCGCGCTGAAACCAGCCGTTCAGCCGTTGCATGGGTGACTTCTAGAGATGCATCGGACGACATCACAAAATCTTCATAGCCACCAGATCTGGAAATGCGCAATGCTGGGAATCCTGGCTTGATTTTACGTCGGAAGCTGGTAGATGGGTCCTACTTGCAATCTGCACAAGGCGCCGGCTCATATTGCCAAGCATGTGAAAGTGGACTTTGAACTATATAGGTATACAGAACACCTGAGTCGGATCAAGTAATGATTATACCAACACTTTGCTATTAACCGTGCAGAAGAACGTTTTGAAGTCTCGTTGAAGTCATCTGCGAGTCATCGGCCTTAATCTGTTTGTGCCCGGCGCCCTGCCGTGCTCAACAATCTTGACATTGAAGTCCTGCCAGCGTCCCGTCATCTTCTACTGATATCTAGATGATCGTGATTACGCACAATGACGTACAAAAACGTACTACCTAGTAGGACCAGCGAGCCCGTAGTGCAGCATTGGCCCTTTTGAGTTACATCTAAAGCAGTGCCCCTTGTTTTCTAGGCTTGATGCTTGAGCTTCAGAGCTTACTCTGAAAACAACCAGGTAATGTAGTAGAAATACAGTGAGCTGGAAAAGCGTTTCAGCAAGCAACACGGTTGTTCAGCTTCCTACCTTGAAGAATCTTGAGCAGGTCAGACTTGGTGCAATTTTTGTCGCTCGTCGGCAGTCCCGTTGGTTAGCAGTCCCTCCCCAGTGCCTAAAGCTGAGTCGAGGGTGACTACAAGGATGGCTGCTTGGCAGCAGCCTGTGAGGAGAAAGACAACAAGCGATGATGATGCACACCTGTGTAAGACTCTGACGAGCTCATGGAGGAAGGAGAGTTCGAAGGACGTGCTGGCAGGCAAGACACGATCCGAGGGTTTTTGAGCTTCTTTGTGGGCCTCGCCAGTTTCTGTCCCAGGATGGTCTGCACAGAACCAGCATCGGGCTCGCTGCGAGATCCAGTGCTGTATTGGTACTTCCGGCGTTGTCAGCAGAGCGAAGGAGATAGTGAGGCTATAAGGAAATGGAGTCGTGTTTGAGTTCAAGCATAAGTTTGGACCTCGACTCTCTTTTGCAATCCGCATGAAGGACCTTCGGTTCGGTTCGGCTCGCTCTCCGATTCGTCCACTAGGAGTCTGGCTCTCACCACAAATCGACCGTCTGTGTTTGGATACAAACATGCGTAACGGTGCTGATTCACGAAACATATAGATTGCTTCCAATGAGCTTTGCTTCGATACCTTGGCTGGGTATCACACATCGTTTAAATCCTCGAATCTTAGCCTTTTCTCTCAGCACCGACTCCTCATCACAATTAAGGGCGTATCGAACTGGGCCAGTGAGCATGTTGTGTTTCGTATCACTGCAATGCAATCATTTCCATCCTTTGCCATGCTACAGAGCTTATGCGAGAGTGCAACGTAAGCCATTGGAAGAAGAAGCAGATCAACGGCGCACTCAAAGGCAAGTGCCCAGCTTCGACAATCCTTATCCTCTTCTGACAGAAACAATATGACAAGGCCCACAGTTGCGAGATTCTCTCTTCGAGCGGGCCTTGATCTGTCTGTTTCAAGAGAGCCCAGGTGCAATCACCCTGGGCAGATCTCCAAGCACAATGAATTCATCCGATATGAGGAGGGGTCAGGACACTCCTTCGAGGGAAGAAACCTCCATGCAAAACGCGGCAACATAAGTTAGGACGTCCTTACGGAATGCTGGCCCATGACACAACCAAGGAACCTGGGCGTTCGTTCAGAACGTCGCCAAAGCTGAGCTCACGATAATCTGAGTACTTAAGGGGACACGACTTAGTATGCGGGGCCCACCATCGCTGTTCTTTGCCTTCCACTGCTCTGCTTACAGACCATGGGTCGCTTCCGGAGAATCTCAAACCGTTGAGCAGCTGTCGAACCTCGAAACCAGCGGCTTGGAAGCCGTCGTCAAAAAAGGAGCTGCCATTGACGGGTCCTGGGAAGTCGTTTAGTGGGAAGAAAATGCAGGAAAACATTCTGAAGGACAACCCGCCTCAGAGAGAACGGTTTAGGTAAATTGATCAAAAGCCCATCTTCTCTGCTGTGTCTGGAGAAGTCAAACTCTGGAAGCAGAATGTAATATTCTTTGCAAGAGACCTGCGTCAGTCAGTTTCTCTTTTCCTTAAACCTAAAAACAGCGTGCATGCAGGGTTTTAAATCCAAGCATAAGCTATCTGAACGATTGCAGGCGACATCGTTTGATTCTGCGGATTGGCAGATTTCAAATGGGCTTGCTCTCTTCTGAGTCTGCTCTCGGGGGATTGCCACGTGACGAAACTGACCTGACGATTGCAGGGGAGCTGCTCCAGGGAGGGACTTGAACGTGGAGAAAGAGCGTCTTGCCCTGATTATGCAGTTCAAAGGCAAGACGCCCGAGGAGATTGCAGAGGGCATGAAAGCAGAGCAGTTTAGTTCAGCAGCCACCAAGAAAAAGGTACGCGAAACTGTTCGAGAGGAAAAGCTTGAGACTCGGGAACAGGTTGTGGACAGACTCTTAGCCGAAGTGGAGGAGCGGCAAGATTTTCTGCGTGAGATGCGGGACTTGGGTCGTGGCAAAGAGTATGAAGCAAAAATGCTCGGGGAGATCCAGATTAAGATGCAGCAGATTGATGATATCCAGAGGACACGATCAGGAAGCTAGAGTCCGTTAGGGTCACGACTTTTGAAGAAGTCGTATGCAGCGGCCCCGTTAAGATTTTTGAATAGCCGGTAGCTGCTTCGCTTTACATGCATGTTTGTCACTGTATTGCATAAGAGAAGATGGTTGAAACCTGTCCCGTAAATGAACAATGCAAGTTTCAACCCGGTACGAGAAAGGTCATTCCCATTTGTTTCGATTAACAGGAATGAGGTCAGATGCTTATACTGAGCTTTAAACGTACAACTTGAAACTGGAAGGATGCGGGACTTAGGTCGCACATGGTGAAACAGTTTTGACAACGTGTGTATGATAGAGGCGCGCTTCGAATCTTCAACGGTCTCAGTGGGTTGTCAACCAAACACATACCGTACCGTCACGGATCTGGCTGCTAATACCCACGTGGCAATATTCATTCGATCGCGCGCTGCGTGGAGATTGATTCGATGAAACTTTTTTACATGACGTTCAACCCTGTGAATCTGGAAGAACATCATTCTGCATAATATCCTGCAGCATGTAACGAGAGGTGACATGCTCACAATCTTCATGAACAGACATGATCCTTCATTTTCAAGTGTCCGGCTGCAATGCCTCTCAACACTTATTGCCGCCCCCAGCTCGGCCTCAGCCCCTAGCTGTGCATATGAGACAATATGTAGCACACAATCGGAGCATTCCAACCGTGCTTCCGGTTCCATACTCAGCCTGCGCTGCTGCCAGCAATTTCCGCTTGACATTCGAAACAGCAGGCTGCAATCTATGGTGATGATACCCAACGTTGACAGAATGATTGATTGATAGGAAAGACAATCTGCTGACAGAATGACCAACATGGTTGATGCCCCACAGATTTACTTGGCTTTTTGAACACCTCTACTCTAGTGTTTTTGCAGCAGCCAGATCAGACACAGGTTGACCCTGGCGACAGGGGCCAACGGATGTACGCGCACCACCTCAAAGCGGGTTGGTACCGTCCAAACCCCAGAGCTCTTGGAAGCAAAGAGCGTAGTGCCGACTTGCAGACTTTCCCGAAAGGACCATTGCTTTTTGACACCTAACCACGATCCAGTACAATCTAGTTTTGATGTCCACCAGGACCCCGTTGGTATGGCAGGTACTCCCGAGTGCTTGGCTGCTTTGTTGTGTTACCAGTTGTGTCTACTAGCCCCGACAGGAATGCAAATGCGGCACAAGCGCCCACGCCAGTCTGGAGATTGCCAGCTGCATGAAGCGAGCATTTGAATGTCAGCGTAATATCCAGTGAACCCATTATGCATGCAAGCCAACGCCAATTTGACCACGAACAGAAGAAGATTTGACAAGCTTGAACTCGTACGTAACTTCAGCTGCTCTTGCGATTTCCGGATGAAAGAGGTGGTCCCGAAGTGGATGTTCTTGAAGAGAGTGCTCTCGCGCGCTCACCTCACCGTATACATTGTCTGAACCCAAAGTTTCTACAAATTAGTCAATCAAGTGCACAAGGAACAAACCTCAGAATACGCCAGAAACGATCAAAGCCTACGTATGTAAGAACTAGAACTTGAGGCCCCGCTTTGATAGTCAGTGTTACGTTCTCCATCCACTGAACTGGAAAGAGATTGACCTTCTGATTCTTTTGGAAGGAAGCTGACAGGATAAGTGGGTCTGCACTTGAAGGAAGAAGATTCACAGGCATTTGCAAACGGATTGAAAGAATGTAAAACGGCGCATTGACAGTGTATCTGTCAGCCATCATACCCTTGCCGATGCCAACGACCGTCCACTTGGAGATATTTTGCAAAACCTGCTCTAGTGTGGCTGGCCATCTCAATCAGTACGTTCGTTGATCCCAGGGGTCTTCAAGCACAAGCAGATTGCTCTTAAAAGCAGATTGCTCAGCTGTGCTTCTAAGGAAGTGATATTAAAAGGGCTGAAAGGGCGGGTTGGTTCAGCAATGAGCTCAATAACCGCCTGGAAATCAACTCAGTCTCTCAATAATGACCCAACAAGGAAAGTTTACGTTCTGTTTGTGCAGATTTGTCGGGCTCCAGGAGAGTTGCTCATCTATGAGATGGTAAATCAAGGGTGGTAGCGGCTTCAAGCGATGACCTCAAAAGCGCACACCATGCCACAAGAATGTACTCAAACCAATAAAGCAATAGAGAAGCAAAATGTGATCAGGTGCATGTTCTTCGAGGCTGCTAACAGAATTCAAGGAATCTCTCTGAACAGTTTACAAGCGGCGACAGCTGACATACTTTTCCAGAAACAGAGCAAGACAGGGTGCAGCATCTGAGAGCCGGTGGCGGCTTAGTGGGAGTAAAACCATTACTCATCAATCCAATGAAGTGCAGAAGCAGGCAAATGCGGCAAATGCGGTCCAATATACCAATTCAATTTCACTCACTTCTGAGACCAAGAGCAGCCCCTGCCGCACAGCCCCCCGCCACCCCATTCCACAGGTCCTTCTTGTTCCGCATAACCTCCATTGCACTTTCTGTCGCTGCATACGTGCCACCGACCACCGCATATGTCAACCCATAGGATCCCATCACCTTCAAGGTGTTTTGCAAAGCCGGCAGCGGCTTGTTCCTTTGAACCGCAGGAATGTCCCGCCATGAAGCCACAATGGAACCCAGGATCAAACCCGCCGCTCCCCCCGCCACTGTTGCGCTGGCGGTCTTGAACGTGAAAGTGTCGTAGTCCCCCAGATCGCGGGCTGTGTCAGCTGCGTCCATTGTGATAACCTCAAGGAGTAATCGATGGGTCACAGCTATTAAAAGAAGCGCCTTTCAAATCTAATGTATTGAATGCACTGTAGTATTGTAGGTGTGGACGGAAGGATCTTGCAGTCAAGGGCCTTCCTGCCTGCACGGCCTCGTGCCCATCAAGTGCACGAGAAGGATCCTGCACTTCTGAAGGAGGGAATCGTTCACAGCTTCTGGCAAATCGGACAACTGTATCCTTCTCTTTGACAATGCAAATTCTTGCTCCTTTTTGAAACGTAAACGTCTCTCACAGATGCTGTTCTGATGAACGTCTCTCAGGCGCTGCTTTCGAAGAGCTGCACTTCGTTTCAGCCTTTGTGAAGTTTGTCGCCATGTCGTCTGTGGCCTTCCCCCGGGGAAGACGTACAACTGGGGAGGAGGCAAACCTGAAATAGAAAAAGTATTCCGGTTCCACAGGATCTCATCCTCTATTGGTCCATCTGGTGTACTAGTTCTGAAACATGCACCTGTAGAGGGAGAAGGTGCCCAAGTTCCAAGCTCATGAAGCATAGGCCTATGTATGTTCGGTGCTTCCAAGTTCCAATGCCATCAACATCAGAGAGTTGAAAGGGGCCAGGGCGTCGTTGCTTCTAAATCTTTCTCCGACAGGCACGAGGTTCCGAAAGCTGAACGGAATGAATTTATTGCAAAAGTAATAGGAAGCAAGACGTGCATAAGGCGCCGAGGGGCGGGGCAGGCTCGCAGATAGAGTGGGGGTGCTGCAGATTGAGCTTTGCTCTCAACCAACTCTGTTAAGTGCCCTATCACCAGCTTTTGTCTGCTTAAACACCACTAATTAGAAGCCTGGTCACTCGCGGTGTCTCCCTCTGTGCCCCAGAATGAGCGCCGCGCTGAGGTGCACCACCGGGCACGCTGCCCTGGGTGCAACATCCCATTGTAATTTTTCCAGTGGACCTTCAAGTTTACAACACCCACAAGTTGTGCAAGGGTGTCAGCCCTCTGCATATGCGCATGCAAGTGCGTCACAGCGGCTTTTGGGGACAGCATCAAGGCAAGAAGCACTTCAACGACGGCCCGAGTGCCTCGGGTCTGCATTCGTGCCAGACAGCTCGTTGCTGAGCACCGGCGTGGACATACTGACGTTTCTGGACAATGCCGCTAGTAGCAAGAAGCAGCATTGTTCAGGAACTAGAGCGGCTGCCGATGGGGCCGGTGGCGCGCGGCGCACGAGGACTTCCAGCAACAGGGCGTCCTCTCGTCAGACAGTTGCCGGGACTAGGAAGGCATCTCGCGGGGCGGAGCCTGAGTCAGCACCTGGGAATGCCACTCTACTCCTGAGTGCAGGGATACTCGCAGGCGGCATCATTTACCTCTTGCAGTCCGGAAGGCTAGGAATCTCCATCCCCAAGTTTGAGTTCAAGAAGCCCGGGTTTCTTGAGGGGATGGAGTTGCCAGAGGCCTCGCCGGAACAGAAAGCAAAGCAGGCAAGGGGGGAGGCGAGCAAGAGGTGAGGCCTGGAGCGATGCTGATGTCAGCAGGCGCTTCCTCCCTGCTTCTTGAATTTTTTGAAACCTGGGTGTCTGCTTGATCCTGGTAAAGGTCTCTCCCTCGGCTCAATTGGTTTGAGAGATTTTTCAGAAAGCAGAACAAACGCAATTGAAAGAATCAAAATATATAATTGGAATGAGTGGACAGCTCGAATAATGTAGACAGCACGGATGCTTCTCAGAAGAGTGGACTTTATCGACGCTTAGCCTGCATAAGAATGCGGAGTCTGCCAAAGATTTCCACTCCTTGGTGATGGCGCGTCACAACCAGCAACATGAAACGCTATCTTTTTGCTTGACTTCTTTGGCTGAGGACCTACGGACTGCGTGCATTGTTCTGGAAGCTGGAAGGAGGTTGTTGTTTGAGAAATGTCAGTGCGAGCTGTTATCTTCAATTGCCCCTTTCCCCACTCAGTTGCAACCATTATTGGTGCTCAATGTGAATGAAGAGGTCTGTCGTGCAGAGCTAGCCCGGTTGTACGATGTGCGATTGCACGTATTCTGTGTGACGCCAATAATGCGGCTCCCCAGCCTGAGAAATAAGAATCAGGCGGAACAAACAGGAAGCGCGAACAGACCTAGTGAAAAAGCAAGCAGAAGGGTTTTGGGAGGTGCAGTGAACTCACGCCTGGTTTCTCCTGACCCAATGGATAACCAACATCAGCTGAGTTGTCTTGAAAGGCCTGGCAGGCAACTTTTGAAGGTCGCATCCTGCACGTTTGCAAAAGGGCAATTCGGTGGACGTCTGTTAAGCCTGCTGGTTTCTCTTGACCGTGCAAACCACCACCCTCGTTTCATTAAACTTTTGGGCACCAATAAATAGGACAACCGGTTGTTCAGTGCCCCTCTGAATGAACCTTGCCCAGCGATGCTGAATTAAGCAAGCATTTCCAGTGAAGCCCCATGGAATGAGCTGCTTGACCTAGAATAGCTTTTGCATCGAGTACCGCTCTCTTTCACGGGTGACTCCAGTTTAAACAATCCAGAATCACCTACTGTTGGCCCAAATCCGTGGTCTTTATTTCATCAATCCAAGTTTTTATCAAATATAGTTCCCTTTGAGTATCCTACTGCCACAAGCCATATTCCGAGTGAAATGTAGCTCAAACGCTTTATAATAACCATCTTTTGCAGACTGAATCTGATGATGGGTGAGATGCGAGCGGTCAAAACGGTGGATTTCAGCGGGCGCAACTTGGGGGACGAGGGCATCACCTCCCTGTCGACCGGGATTGCATTCAACGCAACCGCAAAGGAGTTCAACCTTTCGTCCAACCAGATCACGGCAGAGGGCATGGTGCCCCTTTGTGACGCGCTGAACAACAACAACACGATTGAGAAGCTCAACTTGGAGGGGAACGGCTTTGGGGACGAGGGGGCGAAGATCTTGGGAAAGATCTTGGAGGTAGATTGCTCCTTTTCGCCTCTTTTTGTTTCCTTCCTTTGCTTTGTTATTTTCTTCTACCTTTTTTGAAAGCTGGTCTGTCTGTCCCGGTTGCCAGTTGTAAGCTCCTTCGGCTTGAACCAAGGCGCAATTTCGCGGACTTCCTGTCGGTGTGACCTAAAACCCGGGGTTGTTGACTAAGACAATCGAAGCCCCCATGTGCTGCCTTATCCATGCGCTCAGGCCGTTGAGAGGCTTCCCATGGTGCGACCGGCTCTTTTGTCCGTTTCATTGGGGCTTGGGCTTGAAAGCTTGGAGTCTTTTCAGACTCTCCGGTTGGTGGTCCCACAACGTAATCGAATTCTGCCTTGACCGGATGTCCAGATTGCTTCTGAAGGACTGATGAAAACCTTTCGCAGCGATTGCTGAAGGCCCCGTTAATGATACTCAATCTGAACGGCTGCGCCGCGATGCAACGCCTCTTTCATACCACTTCGTCCGAGCGCTTCCCCAATGCTCGTGTGGCGGTCCTTCTTAGGGTCCATTCCGGTCCGCCGAAGGATTGTAGCTCCTCACTCACGTACTCTATCTTAACGCACCTGCAGCAAAACGCGTCGATCAAGACGCTCACGCTCAACAGCTGTACAATTGCGGACGACGGGTGCAAAGCGATCGCCGAGGTGCTGAAACGGAACACGACCATCACGGAGCTGGAGCTGAACAACAACATGATCGACTACGAGGGCTGCGCGGCGCTCGCGGAGGCGGTGGCGGCCAACACGGCGTTGCGGGTGAGGGCGTCTTTGAGCTCTTGACTAGATGCAGAGTACTGGTGGCGATTTCTTGTTCTTGCGCACGAGTCGAGTAACTCTTTTAACTCTTGAACTTCGCGCTGTTCAGCAGATGTTTTCTTGATTATCTGGGCCCCGGCTAAATCTACTTGCGTCAAATTGGGGCAAAGGATCTCATTTTTCTTTACTCCGATAGATGCAGCCGGTGGTAGACTTATTTGGGCCTAAATTACCTCGTCTCTTGGCAGTGTTCTCTTGTGCTGTGCTCCTGCAGAGATTCTTCGGGAAGACAATGGTATCCCAGCATATCAGTGGGGAGCCTTATAGTGAAGCTTGTTGCTGCTCAGCATAGCAGCGAAAACATGGTCAAAACGCACGAGCGTTCTTCACACTCAGTCTACGACCGTCGGACGCGACCTTCCTTTCCCTTCTTGAAAATCATATCGACGGGTTGCCCACGTCTTCGATCTCATCTATGTATTTATTTATCTATTCATTCATCTATTAACTTGCTTATATCTGGTCTTGCAGAAGCTGCGGTTGAACGGCAACTACGGCGGCGTGCTGGGCGGGTCCGCGCTGGCCAAGGGCGTGGGCCTGAACACGTCGCTGCGGGAGCTGCACTTGCACGGGAACGGGATCGGGGACGAGGGGATGCGCATCCTGGGGGAGGAGCTGCTGCGGCGAGAAAAGGACAACAAAAAGTGCCGAGTGAGTGGGGCGCAAAGCCTGTATTGACTGCTGGGTTGGTAAAAGTTGAAGAGTGAGAAGCTATTACGAATGCTGCTTCGTGGGGAAACGGACACGAAAAAGTGCCGAACGAGCCGCTGGGATGGAGAGGATACGGTTAGGTCCTTGTGTCCAGACATAATGAAACGGAGACTTCCTCGGTTTTGTGGCTGAGCTGCTTGGGTTGGGAAAGGATAGAAGAAATTATGGATAGAGTCCGTCTGTTCTTGGAAAAATTGGGCATTGGGCGAGAAGAAGAGCTACTCGAAGCTGACCAATTGCGTCGCAACACGCACCGTTCTTGCTCCGCCTTACGGCTGTTTTGAAGAAGCACCACTGGACTTCCCAGCCCCTACACTACTGCCCCACCCCTCCTACCTCTAAACATCCCTCTAAACTCGCAGATGACAACACTGGACCTCGGCAACAACAACCTGAGCGCGAAGGGCGCTTTGTGTCGACGAAACATCCATTGAAGTTCCGAGTCCAGAAATTCCGCCCCCCAAATTGAATTGTTGCTGCTTCCCACCCGCTCACCTGCAGATGAATCTGCTGAACTTACGCAACACTACTTCCACTGGACTCCCCAGCGCCTGAACGTGCTTGACGCCCTCCTTCTCCGCCGCCGTAAAATTGCCCCCCCAAAACTCGCAGATGACGACGCTGGACTTGGGCAACAACAACCTGAGCGCCAAGGGCGCGCGCGAGGTTGCGGCGTACCTGAAGCGCGCCAAGGGCCTGCAATGGCTCAACCTGTACATGAACGACTTAGGGGACGCGGGCGCGCAGAGCCTGGGGGAAGCGCTGGCGGGGACCAAGACGCTGGCGACGCTCGACATCGGGGGGAACAACATTCAGGCGGACGGGATTGCGGCGATCGCGGCGGCGATCAAGGAGAACAAGTGAGCGGCCGTCAGAATTCTGTACGCTTGGGAGCTCGAGAGCTGAATCCCGAGTTGAAAGTTCAGTTTTCCGGTTTGTCAACAGTCAGTCGTGGGGCTTTTAGCATGACAAAGAGCAAAACTTTGGTTGTGCTGGTTGCATTGAAAGAACGTCTACGCGAAGAGAATGCGCCACTTTGAAGGAAGCTGAAGGAAAACAAGGGGCTTGGAGTGCGAGTTTCGCTTTCCTCTCAAAGAGGTCTTTAAGTCTTCAGTTTGGGATCTGAGACTGACAGCTCATATGAGAGCAAGACGCTGGTTACGCTCGACGTTGAGGAAACCAATTGTCCATGCGAAAGTAATTTTGGGAATTGCGTAGGGAATATCGTAAAAGTGAGCTGGAATTCCTGGGTATCCAGCGCTTCGTTTGTCGAGTATCAGCATAGAAAGAAGCTGGGATGCGAAGACACATTTCTGATGCAGACAAGATCATGCAAGTCGCGGAGGGGAGCAAAATAAGGCATGATCAATCGAGTCGGCATCATGACTCTATTGCTGCAGAAAGCTACGGACCTTTCTCAAAGCACGTGGAGATTGGAGTGGTTTCGAAAAAGCGAGATTCTTGGCTACTCTCGACAACGGGCGAAAGCAGTCAAAGCAGCATCGATGCTGACGGTCGCACAACCGGATATCACAAGCGGTCAGATCCGCTGCGGATTGTATGAGTTCCACTTTTATCCATTCAAAAGCCTGCGCTCCTGTCTCCATCAACAAAGGAATCCGGAAAACATCTGATAAACAATTGTTCTCAATTTCTATCCGGAGTCCACTGACGTTTGGAATCTGCAGGTCAATCACGACACTGGAACTGGGGTACAATCCGATGGGCCCGGACGGCGCCAAGGAACTAGCGGACGTGATCAAGTTCTTCGGAAATGTGGAAACGCTGCGGCTAGGCTGGTGTAAACTGGGGGTCAAGGGTGAGCAGCCGCCTCGCAGACGCGTCTCTTGTGCTTCGACTGGCGCTATACAGCCCAGGACACGTCAGCAGCTGCATGGCGTTATTAAAGAGGGTTGCGGAAATCATCTGTGTCCTTCAGAACCTGGTTGTCCTGTCACGGGGCTTGCTGGATGAATGGCCGTGGTTAACGTTAAAAAGTATGCTGTTCGCGTTAGATCTGGCGCCCGATCTCGGTTCGACATGCACGTTCCTGGATCTTGAGTCGCAATGTTGGTTCTTGACAATCCCTGGCTTAACTCCGAAAGGACTCTGCATATCCATTCGGGTCGCATACTACCGGGGATTTTGGTCGGCCGGAGGAGAGGTAACCTATTCAGGGGGCATGTCTGTCAGCAATTGGGGAACGGACGTCCCGACTCGAGACCCAGAACCCCCCGTTTTGGTGCGAGCTCGGGTGCCAAGTTTGATGCAAACAGCAGTATGAGGTGCAGTGGCACTCGATGAATGGAGGCGTCCAGTAGAGGTTTTGATGGTCTTGGCGATGTGGTCGACGCCCATTCTTTTCCTTGAGAAGTTCAAATTGCATCGTCCTTCTTGCCCCTTGAAGGAGTCTTTTTGTTGGCCGCTTCAAACGGTGCCCGATGCCGTCGCCCTTCTTCTGCGAGGATCCCATCTGCATCTTCCCTTGAAATTTCAAAGACGCACTCTGCAAAGTGCTTAGATAGGGATGGCTTGTCTGACCTTCTAGTGGAGTTTCCCCGCACAAATTCTGCTCATATAACCTCGATCAACCCTCCCAATTGCGTAGGAGCGGAACACTTTGCGGATGCGCTGAAGTACAATGCAACGATATCCACTTTGGACTTGCGAGCCAACGCCATTGGAGACGAAGGCGCGGCAGTCCTCGCGCAAAGCCTGCGGGTGGTCAACGAGAAGTTGGAGGTGCTTGACCTGGGGTTCAACGAAATTAGGTTAGTCCGCTAACCTGGGCTGCTAACCGTTGGGTCCCAAGTGTCCTTAAAACCAAGCTATAAATCGTCTGAGCTTCTCCGGTTCGCTGAGAAAACGAGCTGCGGGCTCTGGATGGTTATGGAGAAGCTGGAAATGGTCAACATGGGACTGAAAAGAAAGTGGGTCTGTCCGCTAACCCGTATTGCTCACCTTTGGTTAGCTTCATGTCGGGTTTGGCGGAAATGACTTTCTAAGCTTAGAGAGTTGCAGTTGCTCAAAGGTGACTTGACGAAATCAGATTCGGCCTCTTCCTCGGAGCTGTGCGTTTGCAATCTGATGCTGGATTGATCGCTAGGCCGCTAGAATTGGCCTTTTCCCTCTCTTTGAGGGTTCGTGACTTTGGTTGGACACTGAAAGCTCGTCACTTCTCAACAAGCGATAGTGTCTTCCACAAGCTGTTTGGCAGCATCTGTTTTAAAGAGGTACGAAGTCCAAGGCCTCACTGATTTATGTCGGGCAACGATGCTTCTGATCGGTCGGACGATGTCTGAGCCGGGCAGAGCGGATTGGGATAGGTGAAAGCGAAGATTGCTATGCAGCCTCAGATGCTGCGTCCTAACCACCAACTTCTGTTGCGCAGGGATAAAGGCGCTTACTCTTTGGCAGAAGCGTTAAAAGCGAACGGTCAGGCGGCAGTACAAATGTTAAATCTTACAGGCAACTATCTTACAAAGTACGGACAAGTTGCTTTGAGTGAAGCCAAGGATATAGTGAGCGAGATGAACGGTGGGAAAGAAGTAAACATTGCCTGGTAAACTATACTCGAGGCAAAGGATCCCTTAATCTGAACATGATGTTGAGTCGTCCGTCAACTTCATTTGATCATTGCAAAGCAGTCAGATGGAACAGGCTGATTGGCGTATAGGACTTTTTGGAATGAGCTGCATATCACAGGCGGCATGGAGTGTATATGCTATTGGACGGCATCGTTCAATATGCACAAGCGTATTTATGTCAATTCCGTTTTATATGCACAGCGCGGTTCTGGCACTGATTATATGCATGCGATTCGATGTAGCCCCGACACGTCTAAGCGGCTTCATAGTATATACGAAGCACTGAGCTCGGCGCGCGCATATGCTTAATCGACGACCGTTGTGCTTCTACAGAGCCGTCAATGATCATGCGCAATGATGCAGAAACACCGCGCCGCAGATGAGCATGTGTCGGACGCCCGAGACCAGGTCTTCTTCGGCCCTTGGGACGTTACCAGCCAGCGTCCGAACACGACGCCCAATTCGTACGCGGAGTACGATTGGCTGGAGGCTGACGTGGCGCGGCGCGACGCGGGGTTTGGCGGGTTTAGCAAACCCGCGGCCGCGGTTCTTGTCCTCAAAACCCCCGGGCACTTTTGTGGCACCCGGGTGCAGCTGTCACTGTGGCAACGGATTCAGTACTTTGCGGATGCTAAGATCGTATTTTTGTCTGGACCGTCTCATTCATGGATCGAACGGTCCGGCGCATGACGCGTTGGAGGAGATGGTGCGAGGTGCGCGCGCGCGCGCAATCCATGGACGTCCTCTTCGTGGTCAAGAACACCTCTTTCTGCCGAGGGCGTTAGTGGCGAAGGCGAATGAGTACCTGACACCTGCTCCGCAGGGAGAGTGATCCTATGTAAGCGCGCGTCCTTGAGAAAGATCCGGTTTGCAGATTAGCACAGGATTGAAATGTTTCTGGCAACTTTAAATGTGTACAAAACGAAGTTTTCACTAACGTAAGCACCCGGGGAACGGGTATATGGTTGTTCGTGGGTAGGGATGCAAAGCGCGTGTGATGAAAGAAAGACTTGGTGAGGTGACGTCACCGGCTGCGTTGAAGTGACACCCTCACAGGGTTGCGTTAAACCGACACAAAGGTGCCTTTAAAACCATTTTGGGACCTCTTGCGCAGCCGTCGGCGTAGCAACACCTCAAATACTGTGCATATGAGCCTACTGGTACGGCCACTTTGGCCCGCAAGGGCCAGCTCCGTCGGTTCGACACCGGCCGCCGACACCTTCTGTCCCCATCACTTTTTTCGCTTTCTTTGTTGTCGGGTCTTTGGTGTGTCTCCGCTTTCAAAGTCACGCTGACTTTGAATTATGTCTTCAAGTTCATATGGTGGACGTTATACCACAGCTGTACCCGCAAGCTGCATCGTAGAGCTTGTTAGATTTTCAACTGAATCTCGGTGAGAGTTACGTGCTGAAAGCTGCAGCCATTTTACACCAAGCCCGGTCCACCGGACACAGTTGAACACGGTATTTAAACGGCGGGTTTAGGGTCGTGGCGGTCTTAAACCCAGATACATATTAAAGTAGCGGTCGTCCTTAATCAAAGCGGGCCTAGTATCTACGTTAGGTCTAACAGCAGTTTGGTCTTCGAAACCCTCGGTTTATTAACCCCGAACGCTGTGTAACGGCCGTGGGTCGGCTTCCACTATCAAAACATCTTCCTGCCACGTAACTGCTTAGCGTGCTTGTGTCCCCAAACGTGTTGCCTAATGCTGTACGTGCTCCAGCCTTCTTCAAAGCGTCAAATCAGAATCAGTGCCAGTAAGGTCAACCACGTTCTAAGATAAGCACGAGATAGGCACCTGTTGACTTCCTTTGTCCCGATTCTTATTCCGGACCTCTGAAAGTTGAGTGTCATGCGGCTACAGATCATGCGGAACGCGAGCCGCATGAGAGAACGTCTGGGCGAGCGCTACGTGGCGATCTAATGGAGGATTGAAAAGTGCCTGTACAGGGCTGACTGCGACGCGACGCTATTGCGAAGATGCGGCGACGGTGAGCGCGGGCGCGGCCGTGGCTTTGCTTTTCAGAGTGGACGCTCTGCGTCGTGCTTCGCGATTCTTTTCCCCACTTCATTTTCTGAGTGCGGAAAATAAATGCTAAAGATGAAGGATCTGAATTTACAAGAGGCTTGCCGCTCGGGTTTCTCAAGGGCAGAGATCTTTTGATTTCTTACGAAAACAGTCTGTACGTCGTTGAAGGTGAACCTGCGTTGTCATCGAGAAACCAACAGATCGTGCTGCGTACTGGTACGAACCGCCCTGATTCTAAGTTGTCTACAATAGGGAAACTTTACTGTGAAGCGCGCACGCTTGTTTCGACTATAACTGGGCACAGATACCGGTCAGAGACAGAAGGACTTGAAGATTCTTCCTGCAACTCGAGTTGTACGCACGAGAGCCTCGAAGCAGACGGAGAATTTGCGAGTCGACATGCTGCCGTCTGAACCGTTCAATCATGTGCTGACGTATCTAAGCCGTCTTCTTGAATCATTTCCGTGCCACGTGGCAGGTCTCGTGGAAGCTGTGACCAACCGTTTTGCTTCCATCAACGGGACGCGCGTCTTCTTCGCATCAGACGCGCCAACTAGATTGGGCCTTCTGCGGTCGACTTCCTACTGGAACCTGAAACAGCCGGAGGCAATGATGCGCTTAGCTCCGGACACCGCACAACACCACGTGGTGAAATTGTCAAATGCCACCACGTGGGAAGACTTTGACCCGTCGATTCTCCACATTCGGGCGTCCAAGCGCTGCTAGACAAGGAGGTATACGTCGCCGCCACCGCTTTCATGACAGCCCCGGCGGAGTGTTCCGATGAATTCAGCGAGTATGTGCTCAGCATACAGCAGCTGCGCCGAGCAAAAGGGATGGCTTACACCGGAACGTGGGAAATAGCAAGGTAGAATGCAACTGCCTTCTGTAAGGATGCTGTATGAGCGCTGCCTTTAGTAACGAGTCATAGAGTATTTCAGACGAAACGAAGTTATAGAGCACGTTAATATTGAAAGTGCACACTGCATCTGGCCTCATTCAAGATCGATCAAGCAAAGGACGAGGTCTATGAAGTTCCAAAGTACTCCGTTGCATGCAGGCTTCAACTCTCATGATGCAGTGTTGTACTTACGTGCAAACTTAATTTCGCAATCTCTTACAGTATCAGGTATATAAGCAAGGGGATCAAAAACGAGTGTCGCCGGGATGTGGATAGCGAAGCGCAAGTTGAGCTGAGTACTGCGGATGGCTTCAAAGAAAGGGTGCACTGGCGACCCTAAATTTTGCGCAACTGTCCGACTCGACCGTCTTCTATGTGATGATCTATCGCTCTCAGTATGGTATGTAGCCAAGGCGGCCGCGCTATTAGCGGATTGGAGACCTTGTGCCGGAATGATGTGAACGTGGTCGAACCTACGTGACTTGATTCAGTGCATGCACATGTATGTGCGCGCCATGATCGTCAACTTGCCAGTTGCTGTCAATGGCAGGCCATGTCTGTCTGTCGAGGATGTATACCGGGAGTGGTACAGTATATACGTATATTAATTTGCAAGATCATGCATCATGGCGCTCGTGTCGCGATCCTATCTGAGGATCTCTCTCTAAACCCAGCTGAGCCAGGCACCATGAAGCATGTCAACGCTATACAATCATGTCACACTCTGTT